GGGCAGTGGGGCTTGGGCTTTGGCCTCCCCACCTGGGGGGTGGGGCTCAGGCGCGCTTGGGCGTTGGTCCCCCCTCCTGGGGTTGTGTAGTAATTTTTGTTGTCAGAAGGTGGTCGCGGTGCAATGAAGTTTGAGAACCCCTGCACTAAACCAATGTAGTGCTACTCTCTATCTCAATAGCTAGGTCATGTGCAGCATTCATAAAATTATTACATAGCTGCTCCACGTCAGCCTTGCCCTGTCTACTGGCTTTGTCTTCATACAAGTCACGTTTATTTACAGATGACCCATAATGGATGAAGTGTGAGGGAAGATGGCTAAAGCACTCTTGGCAAGAATCTCACGATGACTGTTGGTTTTAAAAAAAACTGATGTGGTGGCTGTGCAGGATTCAAGAATTTTAAATTAATTAATGGAGATATCCTATCTCCTAGAACTGGAAGGGACCTTGAAAGGTCATCAAGTCCAGCCCCCTGCCTTCACTAGCAGGACCAAGTACTGATTGTGCCCCAGATCCCTAAGTGGCCCCCTCAAGGATTGAACTCACAACCCTGGGTCTAGCAGGCCAATGCTTAAACCACTGAGCTATTTTGGTCTTGACCTTAGCAGCCGCAAAATCTCAGTCAACGAATTTGCTTGCAGTTGTCACCAATTTAGTTAATCCAAGCTGCCTTTGCTCAGGTGGATTAATGCCCCTTCCATTGTGAGGAAATTTTTATTACTTTTATGCATCAAAAGGATCTGAGCTAAGTTGTTTGCTTCTCTGGATGCAAGATAAGATCTAGAGTGAACAAAAACAGTCTTCTCTGATTGGAGTTTAGGCCAGAAATGTTTGCTGAGATACTGGAGGTGTTGGGGTCCTTTTTGTATCCCTCTCTAAAGCTCATCAGAAAACATTTTTTGTTTTCTGTGGAAATTTTTGACTTTTCATTGAAAAACCGAATGTTTTCCCAGCCAAAAACCGAAAGACCTCTCGTGAAAAATTTCATTTAGTCAAAGACCCAATTTTCCATCAAAACAGTTTTGACAAATAATTTTCAGCAGCTCTGTCCATATCGCTTTCTGGCTGGGGAAGGGAATGGAGAAGAACTGACTCTACTGCTGGTAGGTTCAGCTCTTCCCTCAGGGAGTACACCTTGCCAGCCTCTCTAAATATATAAATAAATAAATAGTACTCAGGGTTGCTTGAACAAGCTGTAAGTGCTGATAGCCCTTCTCAGAGTGCCGCTAAGAGGGCCTGATAGGGCTGCATGGTAACCAAGGCATGTTGTTGGTCAGAGGTAGTAAATAAGAGTAGTGCTTATACAAACTGCATTACTGGGAAAAGTTAACTCGCCTTTCTGCGGAAAAGGGCATGGCTGAAAATTCTTATCCAGACTACGTCTGACCAATAATTCCCTCTGTAAGCAATTACACAGAAAAGAGATACAAACCCCAGCAGGACCCCCGCGCGCCCCCCCCCCTGTTTTTCTGAGGACTGCAGATGAAGTAGTTTGGACGATCTCAGAAAGTGGTAATATAAGCATTGCTCCACTGCAGAGAACACACTTGCTGGGTCTACGAGGCAAGACATAGAGATGTTTCCTTAGCTTATGGTGTTCCGAATTTATCTCCCTAAGGGTACGTCTGCATTGCAATAAAACACCCGTGGCACTGAGTCTCAAAACCCAGGTCAGCTGACTTGGACTCACAGAGATCTGGCTATAGGGCTGTAAAACTTCAGTGTATATGCTCGTGCTGGAGCCTGGGCTCTAAAACTCCTCACTATGTAGGGTCTCAGAGCATGGACTTTAGCCTGAGACAGCTCATCTACACTGCAGTTGTATAGCCCAGCCGCCTGAGCCCCACAAGCCCGAGTTAGCTGACCCAAACCAGCTGTGGCCATGCCGCAGGTCTTTGATTACAGTGTAGACCAGGGGTTCTCAAACTTCACTGCATCGTAACCCCCTTCTGACAACAAAAATTGCTACATGACCCCAGGAGGGAACATCGAATCCTGAGCTCGCCTGAGCCTGTCTGAACCCTGCCGCCCTGGGCAGGGGGGCCAGGGCCAAAGCCAGAGCGTCACCATTCTTGGGGGAGAGGGGGAGGGGCAAAGCCGAATCCCAAGGGCTTCAGCCTTAAGCGGGGGGGGCTGAAACCTGTGGCCCCCTCCCCTACACACACACACTCAGTGCTGAAGCCCTTAGGCTTCAGCCTCAGGCAGTGGGACTCAGGCTTCGGCCCTGGGCTCCAGCAAGGCTATTACCAGCCCTTGGCGACCCCATTAAAACAGGGTCACGACCTGCTTTGGGGTCCTGACCCACAGTTTGAGAACTGCTGGTGTAGACATACCCTCTGAGGCCTTTAATATATGGTGAACAAGATGGGAGGAAGATATCGTCCCTGAAACACAAAATCAAATAGAGAAATTGGATATTCAAAAGGAAGATTCAAGTAAATACTTCACATGTGTATATTGAAACTTTGCAGTCACTCTTTCCCCTTTACTGCTAAGAGATGTAATCGTATGGTGATGTAGGAACCTTAACTTTATTTACTACTTCAGGTTATTTAAATTCTCAACCTTAGGTGCTAAGGTAAATCTAAGTGATTTTGCATTTAACATACAGAATTATTAATTTAGTACCATTGGCTTACATAGTGCTTCGTAGATATAAGAAAATATTCTCCCTGCCTTGAAGAATTTAGTCTAGGGTACCCAATCCTGCTGTCTTCAAAGCCTGGTATTTGCCAGGTATTGCCCTGTATTTCAATGGGAGAAGGCCTAGGGTTTAGGCATTAGGATCTCACAGGATCCTAAAGCTTGTAACAATCTTGTCCTCAGCTGCTTGAGTTGTGCTTTGGGAGAACTCAGCTGTTTTGGGGAAATCACTTTTAATTTGGAAACATTAAAAAAAAAAATCTTCAGATTGATTCCAAAGAGAGAGAGAGAGATTTTATTAAATGTCCTGGTACTCCTGAAGCACTGCAGTATTCAAATCACTCAGGCTGCTGTTGTGAAAGCTACTAGTCTTTAGACTCCTTGTTGAACTGATAACCTATAAGTTAGACCACATCAAGGTTGTGAATTTAAAATGACTTTCTGAAGTTTTCATGCTTCTGTTTTTTTGTGATTCATGTAAGATGTCAGCAAAATGGAGGCATGACCATGTTGATTTCAGATGTTACGATTTCCAGTGGCTTTTGACTGTGCATAGGTCATATGCTTTGGGCAGCCCAGCTGGGGCATGTTGGTGGAAAGATGGTAGATGAGAATGGGTGGCCCTTCTTGTTGGGAGAGAAGTGAGTGGCTGGCTCTGTGCTCGCAAGGTGGGAGGCAGTGACATTATGTGCAGTTCAGAGGTGACAGTTATAATTCAGTTTCATTCTGCACACACAGAAATTAAATTATGCAGTAGACTCCAGAATGTCTTAGCTGTGCTTGCTGATTACCCAGTTTATTCAACACTACAATGCTTTGTAGGCTGGGAACTACCATTTTTGGCATTCAGTAGCTAGTGCATTTTTAGTCTTTCTGACATTCGAGTTGCTGTAAAACAGAATCCCAGAATAGGATTGCCAAGTTTTAGAATTTATACTGCTTGTTTGGAAAACTAATCGTTGTAAACATTGACAATGTATCATTTAATGCAAATTTAGGTATTTTGGGAAACCACTAGTGTTTACTGGAGGAGGTTGGGAAAGCTGTGAAAACAATCAAATAGCAGAGCAAAAAACAACAACAACAACAAAAATCCTTCAGATCATGGAGGACATCTCCATAATAGACAAAAGGCAGAAGAAATCATTGTATAAAACGTTAAAATACGTGGAGAGCATATATGAAGAAGAGGAGGGGTTTGGGAACCAATACATAGGAGCAGTGTTGAATAGTTATTTTTATACCATGGTGTTTTATCCCAATCCCCTTGGTATGTAACTCGTGTACCCACCTGTAGGCTCTTCATTTTAGTGATTATATCTTTCCGTGGGTGGACAGGGTTTGGCATATTGCAGGAGCTACTTGAATATAGACAATAAATATGGAATTAGATGGAGACTTGCATAAATTGGGGATCAGTTGTCCATGGCTGTAAGGCTAGGTAGCTTACAGAATAACAGGAGATTAGATGTACATCAGAGAGAATACCAAGTCTAGCACATCTCAGATCTACACCATCAGAAATGAGGGAAAGGAGTTTCAGCTGCAGCCAGAGAGGAAGCGGGCAGTTCCTGGCAGCTGGCCAGGAGTCACTGAAAGGAAAGCACCTGTCCCAACTCTTCTCTGCAATAGCTATGGTAACTATCTGCTGCCCCTCCCTGCTTCGGTCTGACCATGCCAGCCATGCACCACCCTCCAAATCCGTATTGTTGGAGTTCTTTCTAAAAGTGCTCCACGCAACGGCAGTCACACACAGCATCTTTCTTCCCAGCTCCCAAGGTGCCCTTCGGAGGGGGGGCTGGGGAGGAGAAAGGGGCTGCTATTTGTACAAGTAGAATCCCTAAGAGGGTCTTTCTGTTCCCTCCTTCTCTGAGGATGCCTGCTCATGCAGTGGAGTTCGGGGCTGGATGTTAAGGCAGTCAAATTTCTATATAGCCATTGTTTTAAATCTTGAAAAGTAGTTGTCAGGAGAATCACACCTTAGTGGTGGTTGATCTCATCAGATACAATGTAACCAGGTTGAAAAAGGATTTTAATCAATAAATGTCTAGTGCAGCCTCACAATTTTGAAAAGAGAAGTATGGTGAAGGAGAAAGCCAGACAAATCAAAAAAGAGTAGGTGTGCTGGGCCATTTGTTGATTTGAAATTACTTCTAATCTGGTCTTCTGTTTTATTCTAATGAAGAGAAACAAAGCCTTCTCACCAAAAAGTTAGGTACTGAATATACAGTTTTTATCCTTTTTAGTAAGCTGACACTAGTAAGCACTGATGACCTAAAATGCATCATTTTTGGTCTGTCAAAAGAAGAAAAGTCACTCACTATTCACTCTAAATCCAGTTGTTTTGTGTTTGCAGCTTCTTTCCCTTCTCTTCGAAGATTTGTTCAAAAAATTTAACTCTGAAATGAAAAAGATTGCTGATCAGGTAATTCCAAAGCAGAGAGCAGCCCAGTTTGATGTAGTGAAGCATATGCGTCAAGATCAGATCACCAATGGCATGGTAAATGCCATCTCTACTGTAAGTGCTATGTTTTATTGCTGCTTGGTGGGGTTTCTCAACAGCCTTAGTAGGGGGTGTGGTGGCTGGGATGAATGGGTGAGTTATTTTTGTCCTGGTGGTTCCAGTAACGTTGGTCATGAAAATAAAGCTATTAATATTCTTTATAGATTCAAGTGATAAAACTCTCATGAATAAAGCTCTAAGAGCTCACTAAGAGGGAGATAATGATCAACATAATACTTTTATATCAATGTATACTACTTTGAAGTCCTACTGAAATGAACAGTGAGAACTAAGACATTTTAAATTGTCAAAAAACATTTTGTTAACGTCAGTGATTCATGGTGAGTACTTGGCACCTAGATTTATCTGATGTCAAACAACAATATTTGTGATGGAGCTGGTTGAAAAATGCAGAAAAAACTTCGACTTTTTTTTGCCAAAAAAAAAAAAATTATCAGTTTCAAAAACTCAAATTTTCAACCAGCTCTAGTTTAATTGAGTAAAACAGAAGATCTGCTATAGCTCTGGACCTTTTAAAGGGACCATGCTTCTTTTTGTTCACAGGTGAATGCAATTAAGAGTAATGATGCAGTCTACTGGTTGTACCAGGGGACTAGGACTTCTGTGTTCTGTTTCTGTCTGATGTTGACTTATCATGTAACACTGGGCAAGCTGCTAGGTGCTTTTTGTAATAGTATTTATCCAAGAACTAAAGAATTAATTAATTTCAATGTGTACATGTGGTTTACTCTGGAGCCCATGTATCTGTTTCCTGTTGGTTAAAAGGACCTGGGGTCAGAGGTGAAACTTCTGCAGATGTACAACTCAGAAGTTCTGAACAACTTAGAGTTGCTTAGGGGAACTGGGTGAAAGCTGGTAACAAGATCAATTCTATAAGCTTCTTAGGATGTTTTGATCTCTAGTTGCTTGCTGTTTACCATCTCAACAAAATCCAAGTAGGTACTTTTTATTTTTGCCAAAGCACAATGATGCAACTCCAGATCTGAACCTCAGTTTACCCAACTGTAAAATGAGGTTGCTAAGAGGGACACTGAGGTTTAGCTAACAATAATGAAGCATTTTGAAATCCTTGAATTAATTAATTAATTCTGTTTTTTAAAATAGATTAATTCAAAGTAGTCTAACAGTTAACAATTAAAAATAACTTTTAATACATATTGCACAACCTTTGGAATTCTTGGTCTTTTTTTCTGCTTAGCATCAGGTTGAGTTTTGATTCCGTTTTTAAAAACAAAATTGGAACTACAAATCACATGCAAAAACATCTTAGTCTGTAACTAGCAGATTCCAATTATAAAGCTCATCTTGTATTTAATTTTGAGTGTACCAAATATAGTTAAATCTTATAATGCAAATAACTAAAAAAGACTGACAGATCTGTCTTCTAAATCCTAATGGCTTCTTCTAGCAGATGCCAGTTTTTGCATTTGGGCTGACAGAGATAAATCTGCCAACTATTCAGTATATACTATAAATTCTTCCTCCTTCCACTGTCTTAAGAATTTTTTTCCCCACTACCACACAAGCAATTAAAAGCCATCTGCTCTGAACCATTGGAAATAATTTCCCAGGAATAATGCTCAATGTATACTCTTCAGGAAACTAAACAAGTTCTGTTTCCAAGACTGATGTTGTAGTAGAACAAATCGCACCAGAAAGTTTTTAAGGATAGTCCCTGAGAACATGGAATAGATCCGCAGATTCATAATTACACCCACAGCCTGTAGAAGAATCCATAGCATTCTTGTTTCAGACATCTACGTGGTGTTCAATGATGCTTACTACAGACTTTATATTTTGTTTTCCAAAAGTAAAAGGAGGGGTGGAGGAATAAGTAGAACATGCAGTAATTTTACAGGCTTAAACCATTTCTAAGTCTGTATGTTTGCAAGCTCTTGGGACAATGAAAAGATATGTCTTAACCAGGAGTCTCTTTACTCTGAAAGATCATGCTTTTCTTATTTGTTATAGGAATGTTATTGCTGTACTGTTTCATCTACATTTACACACTGTCACCTGCCACTCATTTTTCTGGACAGTGTTCGGTTTGCATAGTTTCTAAAGGTCCATACAACTCCTCAAACTAGGCTGCTTCTCCTTCATCTAAGTGCCTGCCAAGAGAATTCTTCTTCTCCAGCTCAGGTGAGGATGAAGAGCAAGAATACACACAGTGGGCTATCAAGATGAGATCCTGGAGAAGAACAAGTAGTGACTGGATTAGTCAGAGTGACCAGAATTTGAAGTTGAGTCAATGGGAATCTTCCTCTCTGTATTAGAAAGAGTGAGGAAGAAATACATGCATTCTAAATGGCCAAAGGCTTAAGGAATCCAAAAGGTGGAACATATGCAGTCACCCTTTCCTCAGTAAGGTTTTGCTCCTCAGACAGCTCATTTGGTGAGGAGAGGGTGTTGTCTGAATAAGAGTGCAAGAGTCTGCTAAAGAAACACAGGAGTATTTCTTCCTGCCTGAGATGTTCAAGTCTGTGAAACACAGGGTAATTGTGGCGCTTGGCCTCCAAACTGAGACTGAGGAGTTGAATCCTGTAGCCACAATGTGGCTTCTTCTGTATTGCCCAAAGTACCATGAAATGCCATTCATGCCTCTGTGGAAAACCTCATTCAGAGACTAGGAGCATCTAGAAAAGGATTGCCTAATAGCAATATGGCAAGTTTTGTGCACTTCAGAAGAAAAATATTGCTCCTTTATTCTACTCAAAGTAGATGTAGCAGTGGTGGCCCACATCCAAGACTTCATTCCTGAGGAAGGAGGACTTCCTCCACAAGGACCTTATGGATTGTAAGATTGTGCCTCACTTCAAGCTTCATCAGTTTCCACATGCTTCTCCAGGGCAGCCATTGTCTAAATTAAGGAACTGAACTAAGGTCCCAAAAGACAAAATAATCTGCAGTCTGATCACCAAGTGATCTGGCCATGTCCTTCATCACAGCCAGGACAGTAGCTTTGCACTTCGGAGATATGTAGGCAAAGTAGCCACAAGGTTTGGCTCAATCTGCTGGACAGTGAGAAAATGAATAACATAGTAACAACATACTGAACATACATAATGAATAACATAGTAACAGACCTTGGGAGGCAGGCCAGTCCTCGCCCACAGACAATCCGCCAACCTGAAACATATTCTCACCAGCAACCACACAACGCACCATAACAACTCTAACTCAGGAACCAATCCATGCAACAAACCTCGATGCCAACTCTACCCACATATCTACACCAGCGACACCATCACAGGACCTAACCAGATCAGCTACAATATCACCGGTTCATTCACCTGCATGTCCACCAATGTTCTATACGGCATCATGTGCCAGCAATGCCCCTCTGATATGTACATCGGCCAAACTGAACAGTCCCTACGTAAAAGGATAAATGGACACAAGTCAGATATTAGGAATGGCAATATACAAAAACCTGTAGGAGAACAGTTCAACCTTCCTGGCCATACAATAGCAGATTTTAAGGTAGCCATCCTACAGCAAAAAAACTTCAGGACCAGACTTCAAAGAGAAACTGCTGAGCTTCCGTTCATTTGCAAATTTGACACCATCCGCTCAGGATTAAACAAAGACTGTGAATGGCTAGCCAACTACAAAAGCAGTTTCTCCTCCCTTGGTGTTCACACCTCAACTGCTAGAAGAGGGCCTCACCCTCCCTGACTGAACTAACCTCGTTATCTCCAGAGTGATTCTTGCCTGCATATTTATACCTGCCTCTGGAAATTTCCATTACATGCGTCTGACGAAGTGGGTATTCACCCACGAAAGCTTATGCTCCAATACATATGTTAGTTTATAAGGTGCCACAGGACTCTGTTACTTTTTACAGATCCAGACTAACATGGCTACCCCTCTGATAGTAACAACTCTAACTTTAAGAAGCCCAACAAACCACCCTCTGAAATGATTTCCGGCAACTAGGTCCTAAACTAAGTCAAGAATTTCTTTTGCTAGCATCTTCTGAAAGAGTTCCCCAGAAAAGACACAGGTTTCAACAGAGGAAGATACAGCAGAAAAGGATATGTATGCCATATTTCCAACCAGCTAGTCCTATACCAGACAGCCTGATGACAGCTAGGGTAAACAGACCTACATAATTAGTGGTGGAATCTTTCTTTTCAAAATGGAATGGAACATGCTATATCCAACAAGTGGATTCTGGAAATTCCCCACAGAGATTGTCCCAGAACTTGTGCTGAATTTAACAGATTCATATAGTCTCCCAAATCCAGGAATTTGCAGAAGTGCTGCAATCTGTTCTGTGCCATAGAATACCTAATGTCAATAGAGATGTTGGAGTCTGTCCAACAGGGGAACAAAGTAGGCTCTTGGTAATCTATCTTTGTTCTCCCCAAGAAATCAGAGCAATATTGGGCTTGAAGTTCCACAAAGACATTCCATTCCATAGCTGCAGTAATCCTGAGGATATCATGATGTTGATAGACTTGACAAAGCCTATATGAAAATCTCAGTTGAGATTCCTCTGCTTCTATTATGACAGAACATATCAATACAAGACACACGTCTGATTGGACTCTTTTCTGCCCCCAGAGTCTTTAAGAAAGTGTAGACCTCTACACTGTTGGTATCTATTTTGACCTATCTGGGATGACATGCTCATCAAGCCAAATGCAGGAGGGACTTGGAGCTGATTATGGAGACCAAGATAAAACTTCTGTTAATTTACCGATTCTTGGTCATCTGCAAGGAAAATGCGGTCACAGTTTAAAAGTTCACCAGCAAGTACTGTTATATATCAACAAAGACAACACATTTCTGCCCTAGGAAGAATTCTTGGAGACCAAGAGACCTAGTGAGTCAAACACAGATGACAAAGGAATCAACTGTACGTAATCTGCTCGGACTATGATGTGTGGGTCTCTCGTCCCCATAGATCTTTCCAAGTCCTACTTGACACCATTGCAAAAATTCATGCTGGATCACTGGGTCCCTTCCCACTCAAACATGAACAAGAATCTCTCCCTACTTGAGGGTATGACTACACGTCAACTGGGAGATGTAGTTCCCAGCTCAGGTAGACATATGTGCGCTAGCTCAGCTCGAGCTAGCGCCTAAAAATAGCCGTGTGGCAGAGGTTGGGCAGGATAGGACTCTGGCAGCGAGCCCAAGCCACTGCCCATGCTATTGTGGACACACTATTTTTAGTGTGCTAGCTCTACCCAAGCTGAGGCTCGCACCTCCCAGCTGCTGTGTAGACATACCCTAACAGACTGAAAAGAAGTGGATGGGTGGAAATGCAACACGTACATGGTGATTCAGGAAAGGGCAGTTAGCCCAATGCAGGACAGCAGTTGCCACTGATGCCAACCTGACCCAAGCTGTTCAATCTAGGTGTGGTAGTCACAACCAAAGGGACGTGCATCAGCTAGCTTAAATTCAATTTCATGTTTGCTTCCAGCGACATCCCTTTCTGAGGTATTACTAGTGATACTCTTGCCAGAGATTAAGAAATTGGTCTGTTTTACCGAGAGAGATTGCATGTTTTGCAGTCCTGACCTATCCTAATTCTGGGGTAATTTTCAGCAGAGCAAGCTCAGGTTGTAAATTTAGATCATTGGTCTCCTTCAGGCAATAGTAACTTGTACATAGTTGAATTAATGGTACAGTGTTTTTTCTACATGGTTATAGCAAAGGTCATCATATTTTCAAAATTAAAAACTGTGTCACTTCCGTGGTGTGGTTTTTTTCTTTTTCTTTTTCTTGTTTAAAAGACTCCTATAAAGGACAAAAGTACATTTCTTTAAAAAATAAATAAATAAAAAGTCCTAGTGTTGCTGTTGTCAGCTTCCGACTTGACAGCAACATGTGCATATTTGCCAAGGTGGAGGATTTCTCTCTTCCCCCCCCCCCCCATTACCTCCCCACCCCACTTTCTTAGTGTTCTGAATGAGTTTATCATATGACATGGAACAAGTGTTAATCAGTCGAGCAAAAGAACAGCTTTGATGGTGTCTACACTCATTTGACTTTCCTCTCCAATCCAAGCACCTAATCACACTGAACGTTCATTCTCCTGGAATCTTCCTGGTAAACACAGAACAAATTCTGTTTGGTACAATGTTGCAGATCCACAGGATCAGTGCTATGCCCCCAGTTTTTGAACAGTCTCTAGGACATTGGTGTGCAGCCTGCGGACCACACGCGGCCCGTCAGGGTAATCCGCAAGACAGTTTGTTTACATTGACCGTCCAGAGGCACGGCTGCCCGCAGCTCCCAGTGGCCGCAATTCACTGTTCCCGGCCAATGGGAGCTGCGGTAATATACTATGCAATTTAGACCCTAGCCTGGGGAATATCTTTAGATGCAATTAAGGAAGTAGAAAGTTGTTTATAAAATGCAGAGCATCTGCAATGCAGAGATCCTCAATTGGTTTGTCAGAAATACTCTAAAACAGGGATACTGAGATGGAGGCTCAAGAGCTGCAAGTGGCTCTTTAATGTGTCTCCTGTGACTCTTTGCAGCACATGATGGTAAAACACTGAGTGATTTAATTATTAACCAATCAGGATGCTTTTTCTCTATTAACCAATTATAGTTGATAAAATAATAATACTTGGTCAGTCATTTTGCTGTGAGAATAACATATATACATAAAAATAGTCAATAAAACAATGAATTCCAATTCCTGTGGCTCTTTTGAATAATGTTGATTGCTAATTTGGCTCCTGAAACACTGAGGACTGAGTATCACTACTCCTAAAAGAAATATGAGTGGTCAGGATAAGGTGTCAAGGATGGTAACATTTTGAAAGAATACATGTTTTCTTTGCTGTATAGGGAAATTGGTCACTGAAAAGATTCAAAATGGACCGCCAAGGTGTGACACAGGTATTGTCCCGCTTGTCTTATATATCTGCTCTGGGAATGATGACAAGAATCTCTTCTCAGTTTGAAAAGACAAGAAAAGTGAGTGGCCCCCGATCTCTTCAGCCATCTCAGTGGGGTATGCTTTGCCCATCAGACACTCCTGAAGGAGAGGTAAGGAATTTGCATTTTATTTCCCTCACTTTTCCACTCACCCCCAACACCCAGGGAGGCAGGCATAGTGTCTTTCGAACCAGACAGTCCTATATCAGAGGATCAGCTTTGCTGACAATGTTATGGGGAAGAGAAATTGTCCTTCATTACCTCAAAGGACTGACTCAAAAACTCACGTGAAGCTCCCAGTAGCACAAGTTCTCTTAACCCTCCTGTGAGATCAGCACTTAATTCATTGTTTTATCTACTTTGCCCTATTCTAGAATCTTTTGCAGTCTTTGGCTGATGCTTGAAGTTTGGTTTCTTGCTAATCTGCTCTACTTCTTCCCCATCCACAAAGTCATCTCCATTCTTTCCTTCTTCCCTATATTCTCACTCTCTCTGTTCCCCAAAGTGTATCCCCTTTCTTTCCCACAGTGGAGGAGGGCTGGTGCTTTTGCTCCTGGAGTGGGGGACAGATATCGGAGTTTCCCCTTTCCCACTGCTTCCTATGCTTAGCTGACCCCCTCTCCCAGCTCCTGCTGCAGGGTGCAAGGGAACACTGAGTGCCCAGCTTGCTAAGCCTCAGCTTCCTGCTTACCTAACAGCCTAGATTTGGCAGGCTACCACCAGGAGATTGGTAACTTTTTCCCTTTTAAAATTCACAAGTTGGAGCTGCAAGTAAGCACCAATCCCCACCTCCGCCACGGATTTTCTGTGAGACCTGGAGCAAGTCATTGACTCTTTCTGTGCGTTGGTTCCCAGTCTGTAAAATGGGAATAATTATTTGTTTTACCTATTTAGATGTTAAGCTCTGTGGAGCAGGGACTGTTTCTTTCTATGTGCATGCAGCACATTGCATAATGGAGCTCTGGATCTTGGTTGCTGCCTCTAAGTATCACTGTCCTAATTTAAAAAAAAATAAAGGTTGAAAGGGGCATATTCAGAGACGCTATTTTCTGTCCCTCCACTTCAAGTGAAGAGCTAAGGCACATGGGGATGTGCCGTCTGATCCCCAACACAGTCCTCTCTCATTGCACTCCCCATTCCCTGTTACGGCAGATGTCTTTTTGGCTGAGGTGAACTGGATGGGACTCTATATGGAGCTCTTCATCTGGATTTGCAACAGAATGACATCAGGCACCATCTTCTCTTTGGAAGCTCATCTTGCGCCCTCTCCCAGCCAGGGCTGAAGGGTCCAAAGAGTCTTAAACTCTTATCCCTTTATGCTGTAAATGAATGTGTCTTGCTATTGTGAGATTGCCATGTCAGCATGAGCCTTAGCCTTTCAGAGAAGAGGTTATTGTAAATAATTTGTGACTATTACAGAAACTGCTGTAGTTAGTGAAGAAAAATTTCTTCAAATTCTTAATGCAACAAAATCATAAAACTATCTCACCAAACAATTGATACTGGGAGTAAATTGTTCTGATACAATGCCTGATGGGAGCGCTGGACTTTCCAGCACTAGAAGATAAGCAGGATGAACCATTTGCATTAAATAGGTGAAGTGATTTGCTGAAATGTCCAAGTGTTATATAATTTAAGATGTTTATTTTCTTAAAGCTTACTTTACGGCATATGGGATGTCTGATACCTTCATATGGACAAAACAGCTTTTGTTATGATTCCTTTAAAAGCTGCCATTTTAGTGCTGTACCTTCATTTGGTATTGATTACAATGAATAGTATAAACATACATTTGGCATCCTAACAAGTTATTGTCACATTGGTTAATTCTAATTTTACCAGTGAAACCCTAATCTTAAATCATAAAAACAGTCTTATATATAGATAAAAGAACGGATGCGTTTTCAGCCATACTAAAGGCCTATATTACAAATTTTTAAATTCTTTAATAATGCTGAGTCATTTTTCTATTGTATTTCTTTAAATGATGCATTATTCTATTTCAGAGAAACTTTTACATGGAGAGATAAATAAGGTCTATTTTATACCTTACAAATTTAGCACCTTTCAAAAAAATAAAATTTGATCTCAATAGGAATTAAAATAGTTACATATATCTTGTATTCTACATAATTTAATACTACTACACTGTAATAGTTTGAAAAATAGCTGCAGCTTTGCAGTCACGCTTTTTAAATTTAAAATCTTCAATTTTGAATTTTAAAATATGGAATTTTAGTGTGACGATTAGAATGTACTTTCTATTTTTTTCTTCTCAGATTGTTTTTTATAAGCTGTTTTTTCCTAGAGGTAATTATTTTGTATCCAACCTAATTTCTATAACTTATGCTGTAATACACATTGTACATACTTACAGAATTATATTAAAAACAGTGCAGTTTGGAACATCAGTATATGTGCTTTGGATTAACTTGTTTATATTTGTTTTTTAGGCTTGTGGTTTGGTTAAAAACCTAGCTCTGATGACTCACATTACTACTGATATGGAAGATGGCCCGATTATTAAATTAGCCAGTAACCTTGGAGTAGAAGATGTAAACTTACTATGTGGAGAAGAACTTTCATATCCAAATGTGTTCCTTGTCTTCCTTAATGGTATGTAACTTCCCATCAGTCTTGCTCCATCTTGACACAGATAGAGGGGGGGCAAGCTTTAAAAACTGTTCATCATCTTTTTGATCATAATCAAGTGCAGATGGAGTTTTTCATGTACCAATTTCAGGTGCAAATGTTTTGACATCTACTTGGCTGCTCCTACAGACAGAGTTGATAGTCCAAATGATGGCATTTAGTCATCTATAGTTGTTGTTTATGTCCCAAAAATTATGACCACAGTTAATTGTGGCTGCAAAATTTCTGGCATAAAATTGGAGGCTGTGTTAAAGCTTCCTTAAATATGGGCTCTTAAACAGTACCTAACAGTACTGTCTGAAACATGCACACAGACACGCTTTAAATTCCACACAATTGTGATATTATCTGGAATGTAATGCTATGCAGGGTTTGAATTCCTAATTTTTATTTTGTTATAAAGTTAGCATTACTATCCTCTTGAAAAATATTTTTATCTTTGTTGGGGAGAACTCCCATCCCAGAATCATAGAAATGTAGGGCTGGAAGGGACCTAAAGAGGTCATCTAGTCTACCACCCTCAGCACTCCCTACACCATCATGGATGGTTACAAAAATTCACCTAGGAGAACAGGCCAGCTTCTTTCTTTTTTGCTTATTGGATGGACATGTGTTTTTTAAAAATGTGTATATTATGCACATACACATTATTGACTTGAAGTCTGTTGTCTAAATCCTCATTTAATATCATATCAGTCTCACCATTTGTGATACTAACAGATTAAAAGTTATGAAATAAAATTGCTCATTGTCATTCAATAACCACTTTTCAGACATCCAGTATTTGGTCTCTTTTGGTAACAAAAAGAAAAGATTCCTCAAGAAGTAAAATGACTTCCTTTGCTTTTCTGTAGGAGTAGGTTTTTTTTTTTTTTTTTTAAAGGCTAATGAACCATGCACATGTTGCACTTCACCTAGATTATAAATGGGGTTTTATAACAGAAATGCTGACTCAACCTTTACTTTTCCTAGTTCAAAGGTTCTGTGGAATATGGTAGCAATGTCTTTTGCAGAGATAAGTAGCATTCCTAAAAATAGAAAAGACACAATTAAGTGAAAGCAAAAGACTGTCACTATTAAATCTACAATTTTGCTTTTTTCAGTGCTTAAAAATTTGACTTGCAGACCACTGATATGAACCAGTGACCTACAAAGAAAAAGGGGTCCCTATCCCATTACCAATCTCTAGCTATTTTTTGTTCATTTAAAAAAAAAAACTACTCTGAATTCCAAGTACCCGCACCATTTCTTTTTATGTTCTATGATGATCTCAATTCTGCTAGGTCTTTAAAAGTACATTTTTACTCTATTGTCTGCAGAGATGATGACAGAATGCTTCTGTCCATCCTTATTCAGCAAAGCAGTTAACATGCATGCTAAAATGCTTTGCTAAATATGAATGATTTGCTGAATTGGGTCTTAAAAAGGAAGTTCTAGTGCTATTGTGTGCAGTTACCTTAATGTAAATATTGGGGTGGGGGGTGGGGAGGGTGTGTGTTAATTTCTTATAAGTCATCATAAATATTTCTGGGTTAGTCCCTCCCACATACACTTGCCAAAGAACTCTTGAGTTCTAGTCTTCAGAAGCTTTACCTACCTGTACATGAAATGGTGAATTTTGTAGGCATACTGAATAGGAATTCATTAAAATGAAACTGGAATGAGCACATCATTTTTGCTGAAGATGCTGTGGAGAAACTGATAGAAATGTATTGGTAGGGTTGGTAGACAATTTTTGAATGAAACTGTTTCTATGGAAACGTAGATTTTTGAACAAACAAATTTTTGTGGAAGGTGTCTGTGTTCCTTGAAAGAAGTTATTGTTTTTGTGGGAGGAAAAACCTAAAATTTTCCAGACAAAACCAAAATATTTTGGCGGTTTTGACTTGAAAATGTTTTGACTTCTTGATGAAAAGCTAAAATTTTTCAGGTATGTCTACCAAGCAATGGGGAGTGAGCCTCCTAGCCCGGGTAGACAGACTCATGCTAGCTCTGCTCAAGGTAGTATGCTAAAGATAACAGTGTGGACGTTGCAGCCCGGGTGGTGGCTCAGGTTGGCTGCCTGAGTCCAAGCCCCCCACCCTCTTAGAGCCAAGCTTAGATGGCTAGCCAGAGCTACTGCCCTTGCTGCAATGCCCACATCGCTATCTTTAGTGCGCTAGCTCAAGCAAGGCTAACTCTGGTCTGTCTCTACCCGGCGTGGGAGGCTCCTTCCCAGCTGCAGCATAGACTCACCTTATAGGTATTTCCTGTCACGTTTAAGAAGGGAAGGAGCTCTGAACTGAAGAGAATTTTGAAGCATACAAAACATTAATCATAAAATGATCGTTTTCTTGAACAGGTAACATCCTGGGTGTCATTCGAGACCATCCGAAACTAGTTCACACGTTTCGGCTAATGCGGCGAGCAGGTTATATCAATGAATTTGTTTCAATCTCCACGAATCTTGCTGACAGATGTGTCTACATTTCCTCTGATGGAGGAAGACTGTGCAGGTAAACTTCTGTGATGACTGGGGGACCAGCCAGACTGGTAAGGGATTCTGTCACTGCCTGCCCTGTAACCTTGGGGGCCTCTGTGCTGTGCAGCTATGGCTCAGGTCTCTGAACCAGTAGCCTACCCACAGCATAAAGTCTCACCCCCTAGGCTCTTACCGGCCTCGTTACTCCTTGCAGGATGACACCAACAGTCCTTCCAGTCCCAAGACTCCCCAAATTCGTCCTCCCTGAGTTCTTAATTACCAGACACTTGAACTGTTCCTCTCGGATTTGATACTCCCAACGGTGTGAAACCAGCCCCCCAGATACCAGCTTGCTTTGGCATACATATTCCACACCAGAGACCTGCTTGGGGTGAAAATCAACAAAACGTTTAATAGAAAAACCACAGATTTAAAGATCAACTAATAAGGGAGAGCAAACATGTACAAGTAACACAGAAAATAAACATAAAGATGCAACATCAGGCTTTACACTTCCATATTCGACAAAATCTCTTTTCTAATATAAGTTGCCTATTGCCTTAGCCTTTTCTCAGCATACCCCCTAGCTATAGGAAGGATCCAGAGTTCATGAACAGCCTCCCGCCTCGAGACTGCCCCCCCAAATTCTGGATTTAAAAACTTCAGTCCCAAGCCTGTTTTAAAAAGACACCCTCCCCCCACACCCTCCCCATCCATGATGACTCATGGTTATTCAGCGTGGGAAGATTCTCTCTTGGCTTGATAGCCAAGGTGTCTCCATGTCGTCTCATTAACTCTGGCGGTCCATCATTGTTTCTTCTCGGGTTGGACAATGAATGGTTACTTGAAGCTGGTTTCATGTAAACATCTGGCTTGGGGAGATCCCCTCCCTGCTTCACTGCTTACTCCAACTACAGCAGGACAGTTTTAGTACAGATTATGAGCACAGTTTTCTATATTCATAAATACATAGATTCATAACCACATTCCGTATGCATATCTCCTAATGACTATCAAGTTCAGAGCATTACAAGCTTTCATAAGACCTTACTCGTATACTTTCATACTACAATAATACAGTAGGCAATCGTTTAGTTCACCTGCTCATTTTGGGGGTTTAAACCTTTTGTTCTCCCCTTGGGGTATCTGGACCCTGATTGTCACATCTTCTCGCCAAAAATCCTTCTAAAGAACTTAACTTAATTATCCATTACATATTGTGTGTCTTTTAGGCTGAGGTTTTCAAAGTTGCCTATGGGGTTTTAGGCACCCAATCCCCATTCCGTTTCCGTGGGCTTTGAGGACCTCTTGGCTCCTTTGAAAGTCTCAGCCTTACTGTAGGATAAATGTGCAATTGAGTAAATAAAGTTTAAAAAACAAGCTGCTGCTCGAATAGATGAGACTGAACTCTGAACAGAAGTGAAAAGAAAGTAAAAATGTCCCTCCTACCACACAAGGAAATAAAACGTTAGCAACTTTGGTATGAGTATATTTGAAATACTGGCACTTTTCTTTTTTTTTTTCTGTTTTTATAAGAAACGCATAGGTTACAGTCCTGCAGCAAGATGTGCGTAAGTACCCACAAGTCACCCTGTTGTCTTCAGCATCACATTGCAGGATCAGGGCTTTACGCGACTTCTTTCAAAAGAACTAGTTACAATTAGATCTCCTTTGGGCTAGATAACGGTGTCAAAGGGATGTAGTTATTTGCCTGCATTAGAAGAAAACATGTCACGCAATTCTGACTTATTTCTGTAGTTCCCATTTGACAAACATAAAAGAAAAACATTTCTGCCCCGAAAAGCTTACAATTTACATTTGAAGGAGAGCACTTGAATTCAACACATAACAGTATGCTACGGAAGGGAAAGAGGTGGGTTGCCAAAACAAGCTGGGGCAGGAAGACACAGACAAGAACGTCTTACAAAAATGTAACAATGTTTCGAGACTGTAAATAGCTATGTATTTGAACTTAAATTACTATATTATTCATGTAACGTTGGTGCCTAAAGACCCCGTCACATCAGAGCCCCCTTGTGCTAGGAACTTCCATACATAATAAAAGATGTTCCCAGCCCCAAAGAGTTTAGGGTCTAAAAGACAAGGCACAACAGAGGGGTGAACAAACAAGAAGGGAGGGCAGAGAGAGGGTGAGGTAATAATACAAGCATGGTTTAGCTTGGGCTAACTGTGTGCACAGTTCATAGGTAAGTCAATCAGCAGCAGTACTCATCCCTAAAAGTGGCAATCACCTTGTCTAGTAGTGTTAACTTTCTTTTAAAAACCAAACGTGGTTGATGCAATTTGAGGCTTTCCAAAGCCTCAAAAATGGTTCCATCATCCGTATATTTGTGAGCCAGCAATCAGTCAGACCTGGCAGGGATGGTTGAGTAGTATCCGCAGACAGGAATGAACTCAAAGGCAGAGAAATTAACTCTCCAATTCAAACACTACAAGTACAAATCAAACTTCAGATCTGGCGGTCCGGCAAAACATCTGATCTGTGTTCCAACTAAAAAAAGGCAACATCGAGTGAAATAATGTGGATTTCCAAGAAAACTTACCCAGTTCCCTTTCCTGTGAGGTTTTTTTCCTTCGCAATTGTTCAGATCCTCCTCTTAACCATTTAAAAGTGCTCATTAGCCTTCAAACAGTTATTTGGACTTCAGAGCAGACTACACAAGTATCTTGTACTTATTTGCTGCACTCTGTAAGAGCAACTTGTCCAAATAGCAACAGCCCTTGACGTTTTGATCTTGCATGCCATTCTTTGTGTCAGTGTTTCCTCGTGGTGGTGAAGCTTCCAGAGATTCATGTGCTGCTAAAAGTTATAGATTAATCTACTGCAGCACGTAGTGAATGCTCTTTATATTTTATATCATTTTAGGTAACGGTTAGTAGCGAAATGTGTCCTATTCAAACTTAAATGTATATTTGTTGAGCGTTGATTGTGCTCAGCACTGAACAAAATACTGATATGTAAACACCCCGTCTCAAGGAGTTTACAACTATTTTTAGCCTGGTACTGTTGAGAAAATTTAAATATTTCAAAGCAACCAACTTAATAATTTTGTAGGTTAAATGTATCTACTTAAAATGTAGTTCTAAACTTTATTTTAATATGTCATATGTATCTTTTAAAAGTAACGTTTATACTTTGGGGGGAAGTTGTATATAATACATAGATTTCTTGAACTGGTAATATAAAACTCAGATTTAAAACAATCCAAGTTTAATGGCCTGGCTAATTATATCTGCATAAATACATTTTGGCAGAGAATACTAAATGGCAGAGAAAAATCTAGTTACACTTCTACTTATTTTAAATGAGTACCATGTTTAAGAAGATGTGTACTTCTATGTCTGCACTTGATTTCCAAAAGTGGATTTACAAACCAGCTATCGTATGCATTGATGTTACCTTACTTTAATTTACATTTATATTAACTCTGTGTATATTCACTCCAACATTGCTTTTTTCCAATTTAGACCCTACATAATTGTAAAGAAGCAAAAACCTGCAGTTACAGACAAGCATATGGAAGAACTTGCTCAGGGATACAGGTAAATCACTTGATGGGACTGTCTGTCCCCCACTCCTCTCCATCTGTAAATGTAATAACAATATGCCCTGACTGAATTAAGAGCTCTGTTGTGGTATTGCAATGCTGGTTAGATGTTTACGGGAGAAATCTGCTCTCACATGTAAATGAAGAATCAGAATAGCAGATATGTTCTGCTTTTTAAATCAAATACAAAAAAGTCATGACTCTTATTCTGCTATTGATTTGAAATTGTGATATGTGGTTATTAGAATAAATGTATAACCTAAATTTTTAAAAGCAACTACTTACTTCTGGTGCCTGATTTGAGACCCCTTAGAGAGTCTTTCGGTAAATGCTGAGAACCCGCCCTCTGAAAATCAGGCACCTTTAATCAGGAGTGTCAGCTTCGGCTCTCAGAAATTGAGGCATTAAAAATCACTAATCGCTCTCGAAAGAGTGTGTGCACACGTGTCTGAGAGAGAAGGTGTATAATATAAGCATCCCAGTTCAGTTTCTAATCAATCTTGCAAAATCATCATGGAAATTTGTTAGTCCATCCACAAAATATACTTACCTTTATGATATGATGAAAATATTAAAGCTATTTAAAAAAAAAAAACCCTGAAGCAAACAGGTAAGTAAGATTGTTTTTTTCTGCTTCAAATATTTAGAGAGAATTCTCTCAGATCTGTGTAACTCAGTGCAGATAAGGACAACTTGTTTAGTTTGCTTTCCTTACAAAAGTCAGTTCCTTTTAATAACTTTTTATTTTTGCATATGAATAAAATGTTTCTCAATGTGTACCTTTTTTTGGCAATTACAGGAATTTTGAAGATTTTTTGCATGAAGGCCTAGTTGAATATTTGGACGTGAATGAGGAAAATGACTGCAACATTGCACTGTATGAACATACAATTACTAAGTAAGTGTACATTCAGACTAAATACTGGTACAGTAAAAATATGTATATTATAGCCTTCTTTCTTTCTGTTCTCTGAAATGTAAGTTGATTAACTATGTTTAGGGCCCTACCAAATTCACGACCATGAAAAACATGTCCTGGACCATGAAATCTGGTCTCTCCCCGTGAAATCTGGTCTTTTGTGTGCTTTTACCCTCTACTATGCAAATTTCATGGGGGAGACCAGTGTTTCTCAAATTGGGGGTCCTGCCCAAAAGGGAGTTGCATGGGGGTCAGAAGGCTATTTTAGAGGGGTTGTGATGTTGCCACCCATACTTTTGTGCGGCTTTCAGAGCTCGGTGACCGGAGAGTGGTGACTATTGGCCGGGCACCCAGCTCTGAAAGCAGCACCCCGCCAGCAGCAGCGCAGAAGTAAGGGTGACAATACCATACCATGCCACCCTTACTTCTGCGCTGCTGCCTTCAGAGCTGGCGGCCAGAGAGTGGCAGCTGTTGACTGAGGGCCCAGCTCTGCAGGCAGCACTGCATAGGTAAGATTGGCAATACCATACCATGCCATCCTTACTTCTGTGCTGCTGCTGCTGGCAGTGGCTCTGCCTTCAGAGCTGGGCTCCCAGCCAGCAGCTGCCACTCTCCAGCTGCCCAGCTCTGAAGGCAGCGCCACCACCAGCAGCAGCGCAGAAGTAAGGGTAGAAGCACCACAAACCCCTCTACAATAATCTTGCGACCCCCCCCTTCCCACAACTCCTTTTTGGGTCAGGACCCCTACAATTACAACACCGTGAAATTTCAGATTTAAATAGCTGAAATCGTGAAATTTACTATTTTTAAAGTTCTCTGACTATGAAATTGACCAAAATGGACCATGAATTTGGTAGGGCCCTAACTATGTTGTAATGTTGCTGTTTCCCCACCAAGCTCTTGCTTTTGTTCATAACAATGTACAAGTAGGAGATAATAGAAGTTTAGGAAGCAATTTGTGATTACACCAATCCTAAATCATCTATGGGATAGTCACAAATAAGTGAATTTAGTGTTTGATTTTTTTGTGAGGAATTGAGATTATAAACTCTAAGCCACAAAAACATGGAATATGTGATTTTTGTCAGTGTGAGTTTTTCATGGTCTCTTGTACTCATAATTGGCCAAACCATTAGAGAGTTATGCAGGTCATCCAAACAGCTCCTGATAAAACTTTTACACCACACCATTATGCATCCTGTTATGCTAGTCTACTCTGGAATGTCTTTAGAGAGCTTTTAAGAGGGTTTTGGGTGTTTTTTTTTAAATCCATCCACATCTAAAGCCAGGTACCTTGTTTCTGTATTTCAGAGTTTCTAGACCGTGACTACCTATTTGTGGCCAAAGAGCACTAAAATTAAAACAAAGCTTCTTTCCAGACTACTAATTCATACTTTCTCAGGCTTTTATTGAGCTGAGAATATCCTATTGACTCAAAAGCCAGGTCTAATGTATCCCAGGTTACCTCTCTGAAACATCTCTTTGTCATATACGCTGCATGATTTTTACAGTTCTTTAAGGGTATGTCTACACTGCAATGTAAGCCCAGGGTTAGTGGGACTCTAGTCAGTGGACCCGTGTTAGGGAACCTTGAGCTTCAGCATCTATGTTGTATTTTAACCTGAGGTTAAGAATTTTCTGACGCATGCTCGAACCTTCGGCTCTGGCATCCACACGGCACCGCACAGACCTGCGTCAAAGTAACCATGTCCCAGAGTCTGTACTATGACTGGGGGGGTCTGGAATGGATCACACTGAAACTGCCACGCTCCGGGCAAACTGCAAGAAACAGGGCAGACAGTACCCAATAACTGGTGGTTTATTTTTTAATTAGATTCACCACACCAGTAACAAAAGAGCTTCTGCAGCACCACACTGGTTAACCAAACACAGTTCCCTCTAGGCATTCCAGGCCTTGGCTCCCATCCCGACAATCAGGTCTAATATAGAAAGAGGTTATTGAAAACCCAATTCACCATATGTGAGGTTCTTCTAATCCCAAAGGATCAGTCAGACACTTACCACCAGGTCAATATGTATCTCAGATCTTACCCAAATACCATGCTGTCAGCCAATCCACACTAACTAAAGATTTATTAATAAAAGAAAAGAATAGTCATAAATGGTTAATAGATCATATATACATACAAGTGATTGCAAAGTCCTTATATCAGGTTTGTAGCAGTGATGGAAAACTGTTGGTTTGCAAAAGTTGCTCTGGCAAAAGTTGCTCTAGTAACTTCCAAAAGATTGGGAGATCCTCTGGACATTGTTCAAAATACTCCTTTTAATTGTAAAACCACAGTACAGAGAATTGGAGCAGGAAAAAGGCAAAATGGAGATGTCTCAGATGTCTCTTATATCCTCTGCCATGTGCATGGAAATTTACTGTTCCAAACAAAGCCCACAGCCCCTGTGTATGGAAAGTTACTGACAAAGATGGAGGCCTAGATCACATTTCCACATCACATGCCCTTACATGTTTTGATAAATCACAGGGGTGACCATTGGCTACTTGCTGTTTTAGGCATTTGCAGGAAGACTCATTGAAGAGCTGATCTCCTTTAATGGCCTGTCACCACCTGAATGGTCCATCCACAGTTGAATGGTTCGTCAACACTGGGCTGGCTAGACAGGATGTAAAACTACCTTGTGGGTGTCAACCAAGAACAAAACACATGTTTGAGATACAAATATATAGCAAATATTCATAAAGTCAGATACAAAGATGATACATGCATATAAACAAGATTATCATACTTAGCAGATTATCAATGGAAAAATTGTACCTTACATGACCTACTTTGTATAAGATTTGTTGCAATTGTATAACTGTGGTAGCAACGATGATATAAATGGTCATCTTCAATTATACATTGCAGTGTAGACATACCTCAAAAGTCCTATGGCCTGATCAACCTCCACTGAAGTCAGTGGAGAGACTCATGTTGATTTCAGGGGAGCTGGTATCTTCCACCTTTGCCAAATGAAACAGTCATTCCATCAATTAATTGCATTGCTGTTGCTTGTGCCCTTTCACTTTAACAAGTTGCTCTGGAGGGCTTTTGGCTGATTTTGTGAGTGCATCAGCAAAGATCAGGACAAAAGGAACATATTGCCACTTACGGCAAAGTTAATTGCCTTCAAATCATACTGCAGCTGAAAAGAGTAACTACAAGGCACCTGAATAGACTGCAGCCTAGAACATCCCTGCCAATCTGCATGGAATCACAGATAACTCTCCCATAATAATGGGAAGAGACCCTAGTTGGTCATCTAGTTCAAATTACCTGTTATAAGTATGGAAGATTATTACATTATGCATGAACACATCTAAACTTGATCTAAATATATCTGGTAATTTTGCTATAACACCTGGCCATACAATAGTTGTTTCTGAATATAAATGATGAAGTAAATCTGTCAGTTTTAGCATCATACTGGGAACTAGTATGCAGTTTATTTACAATTATCCCTAAATCTCTTTACATGGCTAAGAATGTCCTTTATATTGGTACAACAAATACAATTTAATGTGTGATGAATAAGTATCCGATCAAGAGCCCAGAGGTATCCCATTGCCATTTCTCCTGTCTGATGTCACACAGTCACCTCTTTTTAGCTACAGTGGTACAGGGGTTCCGGCTGAGTGAATGGAACCCCAGGCTGGCAGTGGGCTGAGCGGCTCAGCCTGCCACCACTCTGGGGTTCCGGCTGCCGGCTCCTGCCAGCCGGGGTCTCAGCTGCTGGCCCCACTCAGTGCCCGCTGCCAGCCTGGGGCGCTGAGTGGGGCCAGCGGCCGGGACCCCGGCTGGCAACGGGGCTGCAGCTGGAACCCCAGAGCGGCGGTGGGCTGAGCAGCTCAGCCCGCTGTCGCGTGACATAAAAAATCGGCTCGCATGCCACCTTTGGCACGCGTGCCGTAAGTTGCCGACCCCTGCTCTATATCCTAATAAAGACGAGAGAGTAGAAGTTGGTAAAGTATAGATAGGAAGTGAAAAGGAACAGTCAAATGAAAGAATCCCATTCAATTATATCACATGAAGGTAGACAATTGACAAATTTTATAAGCGCTTGTATAAAAAAGCTAGAAGTCTAAATACTAAGATGGGTGAACTTGAGTGCCTGGTTTTAAGTGAGGCTATTGGTATAATAAACATCACAATAACTTGATGGAATGATGAGACACAGTAATACTGGGGTACACAATATATAAGAATGACGGAATAGGTCATGCTGGTGGGGGAGTGGCACTATGTGTGGGGGAAAAAATCAGTCAAATATAATAAAAATCTGAAATCAAACTGCAGCATAGAATCTCTACGGATAGAAATTCAATGCTTGATTAATAAGAGTATAGCAGAAGGAATATACTACCGACCACCTGGCCAGGACGGTGATTGTGAAATGCTCTGGGAGATGAGACCGACTACAAAAACAGAAAGCCCAGTAACCATGGGGGATTTTAACTATTGCCGTATTGACTGGATACATGTCACCTCAGGACAGGGTGCAGAGATAAAATTTCTAGACACCATTGACTGCTTCTTGGAGCAGCTAATCCTGGAACCCACTAGGGGAGAGGCAATTCTTGATTTAATCCTAAATGTCACATAGGATCTGGTCCAAAAGGTGAATACAGCTGAACTGCTCAGTAATAGTGACCATAAAATAATTAAGTTTATCATCCTTGTAGGGAGGAAAATACCAAAGAAACCCACCACAGTAGCATTTAACTTTTTAAAAGGGGAACTACACAAAAATGAGGAAGCTAGTTAAATGGAAATTAAAAGGAACAGTCACAAGAGTGAAATGCCTGCAAGCTGCATGGAAACTATTTAAAAACACCATAATAGGGGTTCAAACTAAATGTATACACCAAATAATTAAAAAAAACAACACAACAGTATGAGGACCAAAGAAATGCACCATGGCTGAACAGCAGAGTAAAAGAGGTGGTTAGAGGCAAAAAGGGATCCTTTAAAAACTGGAAGTAAGAGCCTACTGTGGAAAACAGGAAAGGAGCATAAGTTCTGGGAAATCAAGTGTAAGAATATAATTAGGCAAGTCAGCAAAGAATTTGAAGAGCAACTAGCAAAAGAAACGAAAACTACGAGCAAAAATTTTTAAGTACAACAGAAGCAGGAAGCCTGCCAAACAATCAGTGGGGTCAGGGCCGGCTTTAGGAAGTGCGGGGCCCGATTCGAACAGTTTCGACGGGGCCCCAACGGGGATGACTAAAATAAAAACATGTAAAAAAAATACGTGGGGCTTGTACTCACCGGGCCGCGCTCCTAGTCTTTGGCGGCGGGTCCTTCACTCGCTCTGGGTCTGAAGGACCCGCCGCCAAAGTGCTGCCAAAAACCCAGAGCGCTGCCGGGTGAGTAAAAAAAAGGTGTCTCCAGCCAGGGAAGGGATTCTCTGCCACTTGCCCCCCACTCTGGGCGGCCCTGCCACTGGGTGCGGGGCCCTCTTAGGCGCGGGGCCCAATTCGGGGGAATTGGTGGAATTGGCCTAAAGCCGGCCCTGAGTGGGGTCACTGGTCGATCAAGTTGCTAAAGGAGTGCTAAGGAAGACAAGGCTGTTGCAGAGAAGCTAAATAAATTCTTTGCATCAGTCTTCACTGCAGATGATCTGAGGGAGATTCCCACACCTGAGCCTTTACCTTTTTTGGGTTTTTGTTTTTGTTTTTAAGTGACAAATCTGAGGCACTGTACCAGAATGAGGTGTTGGAGAAGGTTTTGGAACAAACTGATAAATTAAACAGTAATAAATTACCAGGACCAGATGGTATTCACCCAAGAGTTCTGAAGGAACTCAAATATGGAATTGTAGAACTACTAACTGTGCTAGAATCATAGGGTTAGAAGGTACTGCAAGAGTCATCTAGTCTAACCCTCTTCCAAGATACAGGATTTGTTGTGTCTAAACCATCCAAGACAGATGGCTATCCAGCCACCTTTTGAAAACTTTCAGTAAGAAGCTTCCACAACCTCCCAAGGCAGGTTGCTATGTAACCTATTACTTAAATCAGCCTCTGTACCAGATGACTGGAAGGTAGCTAATGTAATGCTGATTTTTAAAAAAGGTTTCAGAGGCAATCCTGGCAATTACAGGCTAGTAAGCCTAATTTCAGTACCAGGAAAATTGGTTGAAACTATAATAAAGAGTAGACACTTAGATGAACATGATATGTTGGGGAAGAGTTAATATGACTTTGGTGAGCTTGGAGATTGATTTCCATTTACAAATCAATTAGAATTTTTTGAGGGTGTCATCAAGCATGTGGACAAGGTTGATTAGTGAATATAGTATACTTGGACTTTCAGAGAGCTTTTGACATTGTCCCACACAAAAGGCTCTTAAGCAAAGTAAGCAGTCATGGGATAAAAGGAAAAGTCCTCTCATGGATCAGTAACTGGTTTAAAAGTTGGGGGGGAGGGGGGAAGGGTAGGAATAAATGGTCAGGGTTTCACAATGGAAAGAGGTAAATAGTAGGGTCCCCCATGCATCTGTACTGGGACATGTGCTGGTCAACATATTCATAAATGATCTGGAAAAAGGGGGTCAAGAGTGACATGGCAAAATTTGCAGACAGTACAAAATAACTCAGGTTAGTTAAGTCCAAAGCAGACTGCGAAGAGCTACAAAGAGCTCTCACAAAACTGGATGACTGGGCAACGGAATGGCAGATGAAATTAAATGTGGATAATTGCAAAATAATGCACATTGGGAAAAATAATCCCAACTATAAATACAAAATGATGGGGTCTAAATTAGCTGTTACCACTCAAGAAAGAGATCTTGGAATCCTTGTGGATAGTTCTGACAACATCTGCTCAATGTGCAGCAGCAGTTCAAAAAATTAACAGAAAGTTAGGAACCACTAGGAAAGGGATAGATAATAAAACAGAAAATATCATAATGCCATGATATAAATCCATGGTATGCCCACACCTTGAATGCTGCATGCAATTTTGTTTGTCCCACCTCAAAAAAGATGTATTAGAATTGGAAAAGGTATACTGAAGGGCAACAAAAATTATTAGGGGTATGGAACAGCTTCCATATAAGGAGAGATTAACAAGACTGACCATCTTAGAAAAAAGTTGACTAAGGGGAGATATGTTAGAGGTGTATAAAATCATGAATGGGTGGAGAAAGTGAATAGCAAAGTGTTATTTTCCCATTAACATAACAAGAACCAGGGGTTACCGAATGAAATTAATAGGCAGCAGGTATAAAACAAACATGAAGTACTTAGTCACACACTGCATAGTAAACCTGTGGAACTCATTACCAAAGGATGTTGTGAAGGCAGAATTAGGTAAATTCATAGAGGATACGTCCATCAATAGCTATTATCCAAGATGGTCAGGGACACAACCCTGTGCTCTGGTCCTCTCTCTAAACCTTGACTGCCAAAAGCTGGGACTGGACAATAGGAGATGGATCACTCAATAATTGCCACCCTCTGTTAATTCCCTCTGCAGTATCTGGCACTGGTGACTGTCAGAAGACCATATTCTGGGCTAGATGAAAGATTGGTCTGACCCAATATGGCCATTCTTATGTTCTTATAACATAAATATTTATTGTCCAGTTAGTTTTCTGAAGTCTGTTACAATATACTAAAACTGCCTTTTTTGTTTTGTCTCCCCCCCCCCCCCGCCAATGATTGAGTCTGAGTTTCCATCTTTCATGATAGACTTTTAGCTTGTTGGAACATGTAATCAGAAGTATAAAAAATTCCAGAGAAATATTTTTCTAACACTCTTTCCAGACATTCTTATGTGACCTCCCTTTTTATTTTGTAGCTTATATTAAGCACCACTGGTATATAAAATAACATCTATTTATATCTTGGATACTATGGTCAGTGTGTTTACTCTTACTTTTTTTTTTCTTCTATTTGCCCATGTAAATTTGTACCCTTCCTATCCTTTCTACCTCTCTGTGTTTGGACCCAATGAAAGCCCAAATTAAAACTTAGAATAAAAATATATTGGAATTTGTCATTGAGGCTTTTAGGTTTTACTCACTTAAATTTTTCTGAATGGTAACAAATTAAATTGAAATAATTTATCAGACTTTACTAAAATGAATTCAGTAAAATCGTGCCATTCTGCTGTCTACAGGTGTATTATAACCAGAATGTGTGTTTTTCTTTTTAAGAGATACAACACACTTGGAGATTGAACCTTTCACACTTCTTGGCGTCTGTGCTGGGCTTATTCCATATCCTCACCATAACCAGTCCCCAAGAAACACTTACCAGTGTGCTATGGGGAAGCAAGCAATGGGTAAGGTTTTTCTGCTTCAAGATTGGAATGTTGTAATTTTAAACATCACACAGCCTAAAATACTACAAATATGCTTGTCTACTAGATCATTTTAAAATGTTTCTGAGGAAATTAGAACATTTCTTATGAACAATGGCGTATATGCCAGGAGAAATTGACTTTGTTCCAATTTTCATTTGTTTTTGTTTGTTTGTTATTTAAGAAATAGCTTAGTAAAATGGAGTCCAATTTTTTGGGATTTTCATACTTCAAAAGAAAATTTGAAGAAACCATAGCACTATTGTTCCTATTTTTGTAACAGTCATTACTTTCAAGTTTTCAGCATAGCTGGAAGATTGGCAGTGAGTGTTTTTTCTTTCTTCTTATACTGCAGTGTGCTGTGGGTTTCCAAACAAAAAAGAGAAAAAAAGTGTTTGCACAAAGAGAGTGAAAGCACGGAGAAGTGATTTTTCTCTGAATAGTTAGAGTACTGTCGTTTTTTAATATATATTCATTAAGACTCAGTACCATGGCACTAAGAATTTCTGTCTTTTCTGGTAAGGGAGAGTACTTCCTCAGTGACCTCTCACTTCACAGTATTTTATATTTTGGTTTTATTTTGGGAGAGGCAGTTATGGTGTCATCTCAATGAAACAAGAAATGAAGTTAATTTTCTAAGCCTGGGTTTTTAATTAATTTTAAATTAATAATCGTTGGTATGGTTTCCTTTAACTGCCATCTTATGTTAGGTAGTTCTAGTTTTGCCATTTGATAAGCAGCTAAACCATCATTAACATTTTCTTATTAACTTGCACGCCTAACTAAATGTGCTGTTTTGTCAAGCCACAGCAAGTCCCAATGAAAACCTGAACAGCAGCACATCAGTTCAGTCTGCCCTGTTCAGACTTCAGCTGTACATGTCAGTTTTACGTCTTGTGTTTGACACAAGTTGAGATTACAGTAAAAGAACCCCATGTGTCATGAAAAAATGATCTCTTATGTTAGGTTTACAAAATCATTTGTTTTGTGATGTGACTCCTAAATTGAAACAGTACACCTTTTGTGAAAATCTTCTAGGAGAATTAATGGAAGAATAGCTGCCTTGTACCTAATGGTCAACTTTAATGTGTCAAAATACTTGTAAATTAAAATGGCAGGAGATGCATTACCACCTTAAAAAAGAAAAAGTAGAGGCAATTTTTTTCCTTTACAAGTCGTCGTCCCCCCCCGACTCTCTATTTTATGACTATTAGTCTCAGAACGTTTGGTTAGTTACCACACACAGTTAAGCAGGATCAGTGTGTACAGAAAGCCAATTCAGTATCTGTGGAGTTCTTTTGTAGTTTTCTGTGTGAAGGTTTTTTTTCTCGTTTTGTTTTGAGTGTCATTTGCAATTCATTGTCTGTGTTTTCTGAGGTTGGTGTATTCAGCTGCTTTGACCCTAGGTCTTGCACATTTAGCTCCTTGGATACAATCCTCTGACGTTACTGCTGACGCTAGGAACACAAAAGCCATTGAATATCTTTAGCAATAAAAAAAGCCTTTGTTTCGGTTTGTTGTTACAAAATACCTGACTCCAAAGAATAAGCAGTGAGATAAAAGTACATTTTAAAAGTTGGCACATGACCTGGCTGTATGTTACTTTGTAGACTGAAATATCGGCAAACACCCTGAGTCTTTATGAAAAGCTTGTGTACACTTGTTTTGTTTTGTCTTTTTTTAAAGTGGAGGTGATATCTAGCTTTAGAAGATTGTTACATATGCTTGTAGATTAGCTGTATAAAATGAAACCTACAGGATATTCATGTAATTTATTTCATTTGTTTGCATATATTTTTGTATTTACACAAATGCTGATAAGTACTTCAAACTTCTGTTGCTTGTTTTGCGCTTTAAAAAGTTCTCTCTCTCCCCTACTGGCTTTGCATAGCCCTATGGAAGGACCAATGTCCACTCACTCCCTGTGGTGTCAAGAACTGGGAGTATTGAGAGAGCATGCTGCCTCCCTAGAGGGAAGGTGGGACTTGGATTGCTCAACACTGACCGCTCTGCTGATTTGAGGAAGCTGTATTGACAGGCTTTGAAGGAAGTCCTCAGTCTCCTCAGTCAGAAACATAGTAATGTCATGGGTGAGAAGGGATGAGAAGCAGGGATAAATTGACCGGATCCCTCAATTTAGGAATTAAATTAATAATGCAATATAACTGGCAATGTGTAGATTATTAAAATCTCAAAGTCAACATTTCTACAGGATAATGCTTATTAAATGTACTATACTGAAAAATATATTTCATGGATAGAATGAGTGTTCTTGTTAATGTGTCGGTGCACTCAATAGTAGGTAAGACGAACTTCAATCAAGTGGTGGGAACACACTTTGTCCAGAGAATGTACAGTATGATGCATGTAGCATAATGCAGGGATGAGGGTGTTACCTGTACTTAGGTTGCAAGTACAGTTATGATTGCAAGGTCTTCTGATTGCATGTGCGCATTGCAGTACAGAAATAATTTCAAATTTAAGACAATGGTGTGCTATTTAAGATTATAATTCAATACCCTGCATTATTAATGTTCCATATGTGGCTAGCATAATGCTATAAAGGATCAAAGACTCTGAAAATAGAGATGAATAAGACCTATTATTTATTTATTTATTGCGCAGTAGCACCCAGTCCCAGTCATGGACCAGGACCCTGTTTTGCTAGGTGCTGTACAAACACAGAACTTAGTCAGGAAATGCAACACTTAAGTTTTTTCTACTACTAATTCAACTGCATTTTTTATATATATAATTAGTGTCTCTCTGTGTGTATATGGATATGGAAAGCAAGATGTACATATTAATAATTCTACTATTATTCACATTGAATATACGTAATGTTTTATCAGTCCAAATGTCAGAATATAGGTGGTTGTAATGGAAACCATTTTACAGCCCTGGTTATTGCCTTCTGCCCTATGAAGGCTATAATAAAAAAAGTGGACAAAGATGACTTCAACTCAGACGTCTGCAGATAATTCTTCTAGTACTAAGAACCGTTGCCATCTACATATTGTCAGTTGCTCCTAGAGAACTGTAGAGGTCCCTGATGACTGGTATATTACAGGGCAAATTTAGTACCAATTCTCACAAATGGGCTGAGGAAGGAGATTGCAACTCTGGGAATAGAGTTGTTTTTTTTTAAGGTAACATCTGTGATGTACACCTCTACCTCGATATAACGCTGTCCTCGGGAGCCAAAAAATCTTACCACGTTATAGGTGAAACCGCGTTATATCGAACTTGCTTTGATCCACCGGAGTGCGCAGCCCCCACCCCACCCCCGGAGCACTGCTTTACCGCGTTATATCCGAATTCGTGTTATATCGGGTCACGTTATATCGGGGTAGAGGTGTATTTCTCAATGTATTGAGAAGTAAAGTGTGTCAACATTTTGTACATACAGTTTATTGGTGGGGGACAGAGGGGGAAGAATACAAACAAGCAAAAGCAATGTGGGTTATTACTGGTCTGTACAACCTATTCTTGGGTTCTGCCACCAGCCATCGAGGGACAGCATTTGTGCTACATACTGTGCGTTCTCTTCGCTCTATGGATGGAGGCACAGTAGTGCCTAAATTGAGCCAGGCTTTCATTCTCTGTCCCAATTTACCTATAATCACTAACAGATTGTGGTTCTCCCCCATCTCCCCAAAAGGGATCTTTCAAATACTAATTTTCCCAGCCAGGGAACACCTAGCATGTAAAATTCCCAATGAGCTCAGTCCTCTTCTCCCCTCTCCCCCCCCCCCCCCCCCCCCCCCGAGGATTCAGTGCAGCCTTTACATAAAGGTGTTCTATCCGTTCTATCAGCTCCATGCACCTGCAGAAAGGAAGGAGTGGAAAGTTTGCTGTGAAGTAAATGGAAATACAGAAGTATCAGCAATCCCTTTTTTTGGTACCCACACAAATGCTCCCTTTGGTTCATATTTAAACATAGTTTATTTTTTGTACATTTGTTGAAGTTCATTGGGCTTTACTTTGCTTGGCTTTTTGAGGGAAGTAAACAAAAGCTCTGTTCCTTTAGAAAGTAGACATAAATGTTAGTGGCTCCCTTCTTTCCAACACCCGCATGGAGGCCTTGTTGCAACACAGCAGACCTCAGGGAGGAAAAAAAGCTCCTATCTCTGTAAGTTTTGGATGGGGTTTAAACAAACAGAGGAGGCTAGTGGTTTGGCAGCCAGGGGAGAGAAGGCAGGGGACTGTCTGCACTGTGGCCAGGGGTGTAATTCCCGGCTCGCATACACATGATTGCACTAGCTCAGTGAGAGAGAGCACAAGAATAAATAGTAGTGTAGCCACGGTAGCACAGACCGCAGCAGTGAGTACATATCCACAGGGTTCGGGTGGGTTTGTATGCAGCACAAGTAAGCTATGCTGTCACTCCCCATGCTATTGCAGCTACAGTACTATATCTATATATATTCGCACTAGTTCAATGAGAGCTACCTTTTGTATAGGATGCACCCTTTAAGGGTGGTTACTGCTGATATATTGCACGCTTACATTTCACTTTTATGCTAGAGTGAGTCTTCCTCTAATCAATTACATTCCTACTGGGGCATCTCACCCCTAGTTGCTTTTTTCCTGTTTCTTTATTTTTATTGTGAGTACTATTGCATCTATGGCTGGGAAAGCCAACAGCACGTATTGGTGTTCAAAAATTTTGCCATTTCATTTGTCATTCATGCCTGATCAAATGTGATGTAAGCCAAAAAGAAATAGAGTTAAAATTATCTTCTGGTGTGATGAAATACCAACTTTAAAGATAAGGAATATCCATTCCAAAAGAAAGCCATAATATTCATGCCCAGTAAATTTCCACTAGAATTTCCCAAGTTTTGTAAAGGTGTCACTCACAACTTTAGAAAACAAGGCATTTTCTCTCTGAACATTACTAAGATTGCAGGTATGTGGTTGGGCTGTGGTTGAACACCATAAACCTTGGCCTCTTTCTTGGTTTCCCTGGTTTGCCACTGGAACATAGCAGATATAGCCTATAACTTATAGTATAACATAACAAGAGAGCATAAAACCCTTAGGAGGTAGAGGTGAGGAACAATCTGTATGTGTTTCACAGCCACGATAAAAGGGTATTTCTCATTCAGGAACAACTTCCACTGAAGAATCGGGAACTGCATTTAGGATCACCTGAAAACTTAATTTGTTTGAGTAATAAGCTCCACAGATTCAGCTCGCCCTAGAAAAAAAAGATTATTCAGATAGAGGTGGAAATTAACATGAAAAGTTTTGAGTTTCTTTCATTGGGGGAAATTGTCCCCATGCTCTGCAGTAGGAGAAACTTCAGTTTTTCAAAGTGTAAGGAAGTAAGATGGAGTTGTCTGAAAAGTTGTCTCAGTGGGTAGGAACTTCAGGACATGGACCATTCCATGGTGGTAACTGACAGGCCTGATTCTTTACCCAAGACGCAAGTGAGGCTGAAGTATCCAGTTCTTCCCCTCCCCTCCCATTGCAAACTGAGGGAGGGAGGAACAGCCTCTGCCAAACTCCCCCAACAAATGGTGAATCATTCTTCTCCCCAAGACAAAAGTAAATTGGTCACCAGTAAGATGCCAATGAAGCCATTTATCACCTGTGCCAAGGCCTCACTTGCACTCTGGGACGCTGTTCAGTATTGACACTCCAGAGCTTCACAGCCACTTTGCAGACTCCAGGAAAGAGCAAGAAATCAGGAGAGTTTGTGGGACCCAGCAGAGAGGGCTGCCATCTTCTGCTATAGTATTTCTCTGTCCCTCCCTCTGCCTTGGGAAGGGGACTGTGTTGGAAGTGTTTTGTGACAGTCAGAATAGCATCGAGGGGAGGGCAAACCTTGGGAGTTGACTATGACAGTTGCCGTTTTAGATACTTGTTTTATCGGTGTGGTTTTTGGGGGGGGGGTAGTATTTTTCTCAAATACAGATACTTAGAAAGTGCAAGTATTTGTATATAAAGCATGTTTTTGTCATAACCCTAATAGTAGAATTGTGTTTTGGTGTATTGTTTGGCAGCCCAAAATCTTTGTGTTGCATTTCTTCTAACTGTAGCAACCAGTCCCCTTGAAATAACTGCAGGCAATGCAAACGTTTTGAAAAACTAGCCCCCGGGGCATAACTGCTAAATGTTTTTAAACATACTTTGTAGTTAGTTCTTTAAGATCATAATTTATAAATGACCTGGAGACACAGCACAGGGCCTCGCCCAGCAAACAGTAGTAACATATGAGTGCTTTCACTATTGTTCTGCTACACAACAGTTTATGTTCCCCCGCTGGGTATTAATTATTTTTTCTTCACAGATTTCAGAAGACACTTTGGCAGTCTGGTGGGAAATGGCCAGAATCTCAGTATCAAGCTGGGAGGTCTATACAAAGTGTTGAATTCTGAACCGTAAATTTAAAAGTAATTTCATGTAAAAAGACAAATAGATGGAGGGTGAACTTCTACTGTAGTCCTACCAGCAGTGACTCCTCTGATAACTTCAGAAAGTAAATCTGTCTTGGCTGCTGTTAACTGCATGCTTTATTCATGCTTTCTGACATTCTAACACAGACCGTTGAACTAATTATTACCCAGAAAAGGAAGTAAATATGATGTGCAGTGCACAGATGCTGATCCAAAGCCCCTTCAAAGTCAATGGGAGTCTTTCCATTTATTTTGATGGGCTTTGGATCAAGCCCACAGCCTTTCTCAACAACTGCAATTATTAAGAATTAACAGAAAACCGTGAAAATGAACTTGGCTTTTGTTAACTTATTCAGGGCTAGAAGTTTACCAACCTGCTCTAGTTCAGAGTAACACAGGCACTTACCTTGGGGTTTAGTTTTGGGGCTTTTGTTTTGTTTTGTTTGCTTTGATTTTTTGTTTGTTTGTTTGTTTTTGTTTTTAATTGATCAGGATTTTCTTGAGGATCTTAAAGCCATTTTAAATCTTTTTTTTTTTAAATTTGAAGTTATTTCAGCACAATCTCTAATATGAATTGTAAGGTTTCTGGTTTTTTTTCCTGTTTCTTCTGAAGACCTTGCATTACCAGATATGTTACCTTCATTTGTGAAATTGGTTATTTTACATGTTGGTAATTTACATCTAAAATATTTCAAGTAGTAAAATAGAAGTTTTCATGGTATTGCTTTTGTTTTTAAATACAGGTACCATTGGGTACAATCAACGGAACAGAATTGATACTCTTATGTATCTGTTAGCATATCCACAAAGGCCAATGGTTAAAACAAAAACCATTGAACTGATAGAGTTTGAGAAACTGCCAGCTGGACAGAATGCCACAGTTGCTGTGATGAGCTACAGTGGTTATGATATTGAAGATGCTCTTGTCTTAAACAAGGCTTCCTTGGACAGAGGTAAGAAGCAACTGGGCCTATTCTTTGTCACTTGTGTAAAGCAAGCACAATAACCTATGTTTTTATAGCATTGCGTGCTTATTGAATTAATATTGCCTAAATTATGAAGATTAAAACTTTTAAAATTAGGAAATCAACTTTGTAAAATGCTTTTTTTCTATAAATATAGTGGGGGGGATGTCTGTGTGTACATATATATGTGCTTGAACATGGTGCGTTTGTGGTGAAATTACACAAAATGCTTGTTAACTATGAGTATAGGTATGATGAAAACAAACGACTGACTTTTGACCTTGAATAACAAAGGATAAGCTATCCTTTTTCAAAAATATTTGTCTTGCATAAAGTTTAATGTGTTAGATAATCTGTTGGTGTGGGGCTTGCTTTTTAGATGGTGACCTGGGCCTTTGTTTGAGCCTAACAGAGAGAAAAAAGTCTCATTATTTTCCCCAGTATTGAAAGCGATAGATGAAATTAGACTTTTGAATGTATTCAGCAGAAAAAAGAGAGCATGTGTAGTTTTGTGTCATTATGAACTTAATGCTAGAGGAAAATAATGCCAGCAAACAAAATAGAGAAAAACAAATATCTACGTCCTCTTTAAAATCTACATAGTTCAGTCTGTTTTACGTGGAAAAACATAGTTACCTTTCAATTAGTGTGTAAGTAAAATTTGTACTGCTGCCTGCTTTTAAACGTCACTCGTTTTGCACATATTCTTCAGCACTGTTTAGAATCAACAATAATTCTCACTTTGATTGAGTTAGTTTTAGTATCGGGTGGCCAAAACCAGACTCTTCCATTAGTTCATTCTGTCTCCCTTTTACCCCTTCCTTAACACGCCTCCTGCTTGTTGCTAGGCAGCAATAATAGTATTCCTAGACATGTATCTTTGGCATTAATGTCTGCCGCACTTAATTTATGCCTTTCTTTCTGAAACAACAACAGGCATGATTTAAAACTGAATGTTTTCCTTTCTGGTAGACTGGTAACATTTACAGGGAAATCTAAAGACCATGTGACGCTTGTCAGGAATTACTTGACATAATCTAATGATATAGACGTACTGTAAATGGCTACAGCTATCCTTCAGATAAAATATAAGTTTACTAGAAGGCATTGCTCCTAGCTGACTATATTTCTGAATATGGGAATGACGGGCAAGATTTGTAAGCCAGCTCTTGCTCCTGGGAAAAGTTTTCTAAAGAGCACACAGTTTTTCATCTAAAAACCATTTTTGTGGAGACATGTATAATTCAAACTTCCTTGTTTGTTTGTTTGTTTGTTTGTTTTTACTTAAAAAGAAAATGGGGAGTACATGAAACAACACTAAATAGGCACTTTCCTGTTGAGCAAACAGCTACCACTGAAAGTTTTCAGTAAAATCTTTAGCTATCAGAACCACGAAAAGGAAAAGATGTGCCAAACTTCTCCTTTTAAATCTGCACAGCTTTAAAATTGGGCTATCATCGTCAAATGCCTTTGATATATCTGAAAATATAGTGTGTGATCCGCTTTTAAATTGTCAGCTTCTTGAGGCCAAAGACTTCTGTACAATGCTGTACATACTGAAAGTGTTCTAAAAATAATCCTTTTTGGGGTTTTAGCTATTATGCATTTGTTTCCTGTATTTTTAGCTAAATTAACCATTTTTAATTTTCTTTTGAGAACTGCTTGATTATAATATAATTTCTGTACATTATTAATTTGAAAGAGGTTCTGCGTTCTATTTTAGGATTTGGAAGGTGTCTTGTGTATAAGAATGCCAAGTGTACACTGAAGCGCTACACAAATCAGACATTCGACAAAGTGATGGGTCCAATGTTAGATGCAGCTACACGTAAACCAATTTGGCGTCATGAAATTTTAGATGCTGATGGTATTTGCTCTCCAGGTATATAAAACGTGCTACCAATAATGATATTTGAATTGTCTTTGGTAGGAGAAATTAGCATTCATTTTTTTATAAATTGCTTTTTAAAATTAAATTAAATTAATGAGGATATCCTATCCCCTTGAACTGGAAGGGACCTTGAAAAGTCATTGAGTCCAGCCCCCTGCCTTCACTAGCAGGACCAAGTACTGATTTTGACCCAGATCCCTAAGTGGCCCCCTCAAGGATTGAACTCACAACCCTAGGTTTAGCAGGCCAATGCTCAAAGCACTGAGCTTTTATTATTTCATATTTCTTAGAGTACTATATCTTCTTAGTGGACATTAGAAAGCAGAAACAGTTATAGTTAAGAAAATAATCTGGTATCTGTGACTGTATTTTTTTTAATATGCAGGATGAAAATGAAGCTCTAAATTTAAATAAAAATGTCTGTATTTTGACACCTTAGCAAATGATGAAATTATATTGTTAAAACAATTATCTCTCTTTACTTGTTTTCTTCCTCTTAATTTTCCTAGTCTTCTCATCTGGAATGTTATTGAACTTTTACTATTTAAGTCTCTCTTCTGTCATCAGATCTACATATTTAAAACGCATCCCTTATGATTTTTGCGTGTATCATCTCTACAGCTACCAACATTTGCAAACAATTAATAAAGATACTTGGGGAGAGAAAAGAGACTCCGTTTAACTCTCTAAAAGTATGTTTTGGCAGGACAGAGTGGGAAAAGGTTAAATATACCCTTATAATTAACAATGCAGATACGTATACCTATATAAGACTGGTCCTGCTAATATTGGGGGTCTTTTAGTTAGGAAGTAGCCTAAAAGTTAGTCTGTTGGGATCCAATGATAGAACAATTATAAAGGCCACTACATTTAATTTCAACACTGAAGCCCTGAAGGAAATTTTATTCTAAAAATGTACCAGTTATTCTTTTTAAGGGCATTGGAATATTTTTAAGCTCTCAAAATGTTCCTGCTTTCCCTGGTAACTTAAAAGTATTGGGATAGAGAGGATTTTAGCTGGCTCCAAATGTAAAGCCTTGTCTACAATGGCTAGCCAAACCCAGTTTAAACTAATTTAGCCTGAACAGTCAACAAACATTAATTGAGCTTCAGTGCAGATGAGGGCTAAAACATTGATGCCTGCCAATGGGCATGCTGCAAACTTGGTTGTTCTTTTTTAAAGGAAGTGAGTGAAAGAGTGGAAGGAACAGGAAGAAGCAGGTAAAGGCAGAGGGGGCGGGGAGAAGGTAACAGTGGTGTCATATGTAATTTTCTTTCGAGAATTATGCAAGTGTCCAAAGTACGGAGATCAGCTATCAAAACATATTAGTTTTACCCTGCTAATATAAAAAAGAAATACAGGTGTAGAGGAGTTGCCGTGTTTTAATAGAGGATTCCCACCAGATCATCTTAGATATTTTCTTGTGTCCCTAGTACCCTGACATGTTAAGTGGTTATCAACTTAAAATCAACTTGAGTTCTTTTTTTTGGTAGGTCCTAGTTTGATTCCTCTATTATGATATGTCTCTTACGCCAATGCATTACAAATGTAACAGACCTTATTTCCTGTGCACCTTGCTCAATTCATCCTTTCCCAGTGTACTTGTCATTTTAAATGTTATAAAATGTATTTCTGAATATATGTAGAAGGTCAAAAATACTAGCATGATGCTTGTGGGTTTTTTGTTTTATTTATTTATTTATTTTCTATTGTTAGGTGAAAAGGTAGAAAACAAACAAGTGCTTGTGAACAAGTCAATGCCAACTGTGACCCAGACTCCTCTGGAAGGAAGTAATGTTCCTCAACAGCCACAGTATAAAGATGTACCAGTAACGTATGTCACACTATAATCTCATACTTTAAAATCTACAAGTGAGGAAAGGAAGGACAGGTGGCAGATGCTCAGCACTGGAAAAGTAAAAGGCATAAAATTTCCTTAGAATTTAGATTCAGTACCATGGGCCAGACTTTTCACAGATTTTTAGGTGCCTAAAGATGCAGATAGGCACCTAGTGAGATTTTTCAAAAGCGCCTAGACACTTAACCCCTGTTGATTTTGACAGAAGGTGGGTGGGTCATCAGGGCCTCTCCCAGATGACACCCTAAGAGGAGGAGCTGGGCCCCCAAGGTTCAGTGTTTGGGGGTGGGCAGAGTCACAGGTTGGGGACATGGGGGTGACAGAGGAGTATGAGGACACTGGTGTGAGAGGTTAGAGGTACATGCAATTGCAGGGCACACATGGGTAGCCGCACAGTGAGCAGGAAGCAGCTGCTCCCCAGCCACTTCAGAGAGCAAAGGAGTGAGTGCTTTACTAGTGTTTAACCCTCTGTTTACCCAGGTTGGCGGTGTGGGACGGTGCTCTGCCTGCTACACAGACTGATAGAGTGAGCTGTCTGTCAGCCTGTGTAGCAGCTCTAATTAGTCGTCCTCCCCCAGGAGGTGAGTGAATGTGGAAGGACAGCCAGTTTCCCCATAGAAGGGTCTGAAAACCTGTAGTCTACAGGCAAAGAGGCACTGCTAGCATGTCTGTATACCATAAGAGGAGAGCCTCATACTCAACATGGCTGAGAGGTCCTGTTGACCTTTTAGGTTAGCTTATATGATTCAGATGGTATTTGGTATTTCACCAAAGCAATTCTCCTTTTCTCTCTGCTCTACCATGTCGAACTACTTTTCTCAAATCTCTCTGCATTCTCCTTCCACATAAACTTTAAGTTGCACCATCAAAGCAATTGATAGTACATGTCCTAGTAAATCTTTGATTCATCATCTTCTACACTCCCTGCCATTCTCTCTCTATCCTTGATTCTTTCTTCCCCACTGCCCCTTATGTCTGGAGCAGCTTCCCTGTTAGTATATGCAAAGGACCCTCACTCTTGTTTCTTTATTTAAAAAAGAATAAGCCAAACTCAAAAACAGTTTGTTCCTTGATTCATTTCAATTATAATGCCCTACCTCTCATATTTTACTAATATATCTACTCCTGGGGGAATTCTGCACCACTGTGCATGCACAGAATTCATATCCCCCGCAGATTTATTTGCTTCCCTGCAGAAAAATGACTTTCTGACAGGGAAGCAAAGGGAAGCTGCAAGAGCAGTTATGCACCACTCCCTAGCTGCACAGGTACATCATTTCATGCGCCCAGAGCAGCCGGTGGAGAGGTAAATCACCAAGGGGCTGAGGACACCCCAGCCAGTGGCTCCTACCCTGAGCCGGGATAGTCCCTGCTGGGCTGGAGGCAGGGGAGGACAGGATTTCCTCTTCCCCTGCAAGGAGTGGCTGGGGCTGTGTCAGACCTACCCCCAGAAACCTCCCCCAGCTGCAGAAAGCTCAGCATCCTCCCCTGCTTCCTTCACCCATCGCTCCTCAGTTGTGGGGGGAGGGATCACTGTGTACCGGGAGCTGCTCCCCAGCCACCCAACCCCTGTGCATCAGGACCTCCCACACCCAGACACTCCTGCCAAGCCTCACCCTGTATACCCAGTACCCCCCTAGCCCTCTATACCTGAACCCCACCCCACTGAACCTCAACCCCTGCATCTGGAGTCCCCCTGCACCCAGACCACTGCCTCTGGACCCCCATCCCTGCACCCAGACCACCCCCCATTAAGCTTCCTGCACTCAAACCCCAACCTGATGACCCTCACCTCCCTGCACCACCCTGAGCCCCCACATCCAGACCCCCATGCCACTGTCCCCTAACTAGCTGCACCCAGATCCCCACCAAGTCCCACTCCCCTGCTGAGACCCCCACATCCAGACCCTTTCACTGAGCCCCAACCACCTTCACTTGGAAGCCCCTGCAGAGTCCCGTTCCCACTGCACCTGGAACACCCTCCTCCCCCACGGGCCTCTGTGCGTCCAGATCCCCCCACACCTAGATCCCCCACTGAGCTGCCTGCACTCAGATTGTCCCACACAGAACCCTCTCATCCCACACCTGGATCCCCTCTACACTGAGCCCCTTCAGACTTGGATCCTGCCTGATTGAGCATGCCTGCCCCACACCTGGTGCAGTGGGGCAGGCCCCAAGATGTTTCTGGGGCAGGCCCAGTCTTGTGATGTGTCAGAGTCAGGTACAGCCTCGCCGCTGAGTCCATGTCCCAGGGGTGGTGGGGTTGCAGGGTGATCTCCCACCTTCATACAGCCAGTGGCCTGTGCTCCCCACTGCATGCTGGAGCCTCTGCATTTATTTATTGACAAATAAAACTTGCAGAATTTTGCATTACTTTAAAATATTGTGTGCAGAATTTTAATTTTTTTGACACAATTTTTAATTTTTTGGTGTAGAATGCCCTCAGGAGTATATATCACGTAGTATTTCTGCCCATGTACTAGTATCCATTGCGACTGGCACCTGTTATTGGATACAACTCTCCTTATGCATAGTGCGGGGCAAAATGGAAATATTCTCTTGTTTTTTCATTATTTATTTAACAAACACAACTTGAAATAGTTGACATTTGAGGGAGGGATATTGGCGACTTAATTTTTGTTCTCTGCTCTCAATTTATTCCCTGACTTCCTTATTGCAAATATAAACCTGTAATTTGGTTTGGGCAGTTGTTGATTCTTATGGAAAATCCAGCAAGGTACAATATATAAAGAGACTTTATCAGGAAGAGGCCATCAGACTATGCCTGCTGTCTTGTATTTGACCTTAATCCCACCTTCTTGCTCTTTTGCTATGAGTTTTTAATCCCTCTTTTCTCCGGGAATACATCCGTCTTTTGAATTCTATATTACAATTTTGCTTCAGTGGTCTTCCATATACATACCACCCACAAAATTTACATTTACAGTCAGAAACCTGCTGATCTATAAATTTCTCTTCATAACTTCCACTTGGTTCTATGTGTATATAAATTTAAATGGTGTTTTTAGGGTGACCATATGTCCCAATTTTATAGGGACAGTCCCGCTATTTGGGGCTTTTCCTTATATTGGTACCTATTATCCTCCCCACTCCCGTCCTGATTTTTCACTCTTTCTATCTGGTCACCCTAGGTGTTTTTGTCTCTCTATTAGATACAAAGGTGCAACTGATTCATATATTGAGAAAGTAATGATCTCTTCAAATGCAGAGGATGCTTTTTTGATCAAAATGTTGTTGAGACAAACTAGACGTCCAGAAATTGGAGATAAATTTAGCAGTCGTCATGGACAAAAAGGTAAGAGTCTTTTTATTAAAATGTATAATGGTAATTAGATGTAATGGAAGCTTTTATATCTTCTCGTCAAATGATATGAGTATGTAATAAAGTGTGGTTTGAATTTTTATGGACTGAGACTGACTTAGATCAGGTCTACACTACAAACTTACCTTGGTATAACTGTGTCGCTCAGGGGTGTGAAAAATCCACACCCCTGAGCGACTTGGTTATACTGACCTAATCCTCGGTGTAGACAACACTGTGTCTCCCATTGACACAGCTACCACCTCTCATGGAGGTGAATTAACTATGGAGGAAGATCTCCCATCAGCATAGTCAGGGCCAGCTTTAGGCACTGCAGGGCCCGATTCGAAAGAGCTGCCGCCGAAGACAGCGGCGGGACTTTGGCGGCAGCTCAATTGGCGGCCGGGGCCTTCGGCGGCACGGCGGCGGAGGGTCCTTATGGACGTTGCGGGGCCCTCTTAGGGGCGCGGGGCCCGATTCGGGGGAATCGGGTGAATCGCCCTAAAGCCGGCCCTGAGCATAGTAGCATCTTCACTGTAGAGCTACAGCAGTGCAACTGCTGCAGCATTTTAAGCGTAGGCCTGCCCTTAATCAAAAAAGAGCTTTCCCGTTTCCTGTTCTCATTAGGTCAGTTTGCGAGGCCTGTTGTACAAATGTTACTACTAGAAAAACATATATTATCACATAGTCTGTTGAGATGGCCTAATTTAGTAACTGTATGGGAGGAAATGAGGAAGGAGGTCAATGGAAGTAAGCATACCAACGTTATGAGCCTGAAGGATGTTGGAGTCACCATTCGTAACCAAGAAAGAGGATGGGGAGAATTCTCTTTTAAGGATGTGTGGTTTTAGTCATGTTACTAAGTTTGTCGTGGGTTATCCAGAAAGAGATTGGAGAGGAAGTCAAAAATTCAATTCTGAATGGACAGACAGGGTCAGGGATGGAGAGGTATATCTGAGAATCATCAGCATGGAGGTAGGTGACCAGATGAGGTCACTCCAGGCCAGGATGTAGAGGGAGAAGTTGACCAAGAATAGAGTTCTGAGGTGCACCAACAGAGACCAGAAAGGGGGAGGAGAAGTACCCCCACAGGACATACTAAGGACCTAATCCTGGAAGGGACTGAACACCTCTGGAGAGCACTGGATGTCCTCAACTCCTTTTAAAATTAATGATTGTTAAGGATAGTCAACACTTTCAAGGGAGCTGCTCAGCCACATGCAGGACTGGACATTAAAGGAGTAGTCAGGGATAGGATGAGAACCAGGGGCTTGATCCTGTGTGCATTGAAAGCAATGGCAAAAGTTCCCTTAATGGCGCTGAATCAGGCCTCAGGAGAGTACAGTTTCTGAAGCTTGGGGAGCAGAGAGTTTCAAGGGAGAGGGAACAATCAACTGTAAACTGCTTTTAAAATCAATTTCAACCCATTTGACCCCACAATGAGACAGTGTGTGCTTGGAATAAATTTTTACTTGGAGATAAATATAGAATTTTATTGATTTATTCAAATAGCCATGGGTATGACTGTAGTTAGGGTTGCAAATACTACTTTATTGTGAGTGCTATACTAGTCCTGACATACTGTAACTTTGTTTAATTTTTTTTAATCTTATTTTGGCTTGAGAACATTCCTACTCAATTTCATGCCAGAGGAGGGTGTGTGGAGGGCAAGGGGTGTTCATTTGTTTATAAAGTTTGAAGCAAATTGTCCAGGCCAGTTTGCTTCAAATTTTAAAGATATTTGACCTTTAAAATTCCACTCTGATCACTTACCATGTACGCCCCCTTTCACTTATTATGTGAATTTAGCTGCTACCATTTCAAGAACCACCAGAACTAAAATTCAGTGCTGCCTGACACCTGAGAAATTGAAACCCCAGCATTCAAATGATGTAAAGCATTAATCTCTCAACTCCAGCAGCCCATGAGTCACTATCTGCTAAAATCACATCTAGAGCAAAATGGAGTGGGGAGGAATATAGTGATCACTACAGCTGTGTGAATAATGGAGGAATCTGTTGAATCTGACACTTTCAAATATATTTGTCCAAGTTTAGGTGAATGTTACATGACCAGTTCTAATTATTGCATGAACTAAGGATCAGTGTCTCACAATCTGAGGCCTATCTTTGCTAGGACTCTGGACTCCTCTTAGTCAGGCTTCAGGCCAGGATATTCATAGATTCTAGGACTGGAAGGGACCTCGAGAGGTCATCGAGTCCAGTCCCCTGCCCACATGGCAGGACCAAATAATGTCTAGACCATCCCTGATAGACATTTATCTAACCTACTCTTAAATATCTCCAGAGATGGAGATTCCACAACCTCCCTAGGCAATTTATGGTAGAGAGAGAGCACTTTTTGCTCCAATGGATGACTTCCTGCTGTCCTTAGACAGGGGAAATATGTTCATACTCCTCCTGCTCGTCCTCTCTGCAGCATTTTATATTATTGATTATTATCAAATCACCCTCTGCCACCTTCAAGAGGCTTCAGGTGAATCAAAACTCACTATAATGGCTCATATCTTTGCCCTCAGACTGAACACAAAGGGTTGTTGGGGACAAGAGTTCCTCGTTCGCTCTAGTCCCCTCATGTATGCAGTCCCATCAGTATGAGTCCTCTCTCTCTCATATATTATTCTACATCTGTATAAAGGCCTTGGGAGAGCCAGTGAGATGACATGGGCTGAATGCCAGCAATATGCGCACAACATCCAGTTGTATCGCTTTCTCGGTGTCTACCTGAATCAACAAGTGGATGAAGAGCATCTGGCTAAAGCTAAACCCAGACAAGAGTGAGGTGATGTTAGTGGAAAGGAAAACACTTCAAAGAACTTGTCTCTTATATATATTTCACACTACTGATGACTTCTTTCCTCAGAGCAGGTAGGCAGTCCGTAGGCTTGGGGTCCTTTTGTACCAGTCAGTGCTACTGGATTACCGAACCAATCATGGCAGCAAAAAATGAACATCTGGTATCCATGGCCAAACAGAACACTTCTCCCCATCCTACCAGACGTGGATCTGGCCACAGTCATCCACACACTTATGACCTCCAGGTTTGACTACTGGAACTGCAGCAGCCTGTCTGCTTAGCAGTGCAGGCTGCCATGATCACATCACCCTAGTCCTTCCACTCTCTGCACTAGCTCTCCATTGAATACAGTCCAATACAAGCTCTCTTCCTATTCAAAGCCCTTTGTGGGATTAGACATAGCTACCTGAGAGATCACCTCTTCCTCCGTGTCTGTCCCCTCTTGACAGGTGCATTCCATCAGAACCCTTACACTCAGGCTTATAAGACAGGAGATGGAGTTTTCACAGAAGCTGGATGTAGGCTTTGGTGCTCCCTCTCACAAAAGATGAATGACCATGGGCCTCACTAAATACAGGAGTAAAGGCAGAACTCCAGTCCTTTTGAGTTGTCTTTCCCTCAATGTCTACACTGTATTCTCAGATACTTACCCACCTACCTACACAGACGCAAAATTAATCCAGCTTTTTCTCTGACAGGCTGGGAAGGAAGCAAGAGAGGGATTTAAAAATAGAAATAGCAGTAAATGAGAGTTTCTGGATTCTATGGTGGTAGGGGTTATATCAGTACATAAATAAATAAACCAATGCAAATTCCTTAAACACTAACTAACTTTTCACAGTTTTAATCCTGGTCCTATGATTTACAATTAAAAATTGTTTATCCCTCGTCAATAAATGATCAGTAATGTTCATAAGCTGAGGATTCCCTAACTCCTGTACAAGTAAATCTGAAACTTCAAATTTCTTTTGCACTTGTTTTTATGAAGTGGAGAAACTTAGCAAACGTAACTGAAACTCAGTGATGTTTCTGTGTGGGTTAGCAATTTTGGCTGCATGTAAAGATGTAAGAAGCTTTGAAAGGCCATTGGTTACTGACTTGCACGTAACCTGTTGCATTCTGAGGAAATCCTGTTTTATTTATTTCTATCTCTAAGGCCTGGTCTACACTACAGTTAGGTCAGCATAAGTCCCCTTTCATCAACTTAATTGTGCATGTGTCTGCGCTTAAATTTGTCTCCCACTGACGTAAGCTCGCTATTACACTAACATAGGCGATGTACTGAGTTCGACAAAATGCCTCTGTAGATACTGTAATACCTGCGTTGACCTGAACAGTCTTTTGGCAGCTATCCTACAATGCCTGACACACTGGTCACAATTGTGAACTCCATTGCTCAGGGGTCTTACAGAAGGCACGCCCCCCACCCCCCTTTAAAGTCCTGCACACTTTTGAAATGCCTTTTCCTGGTTATCCACCTTGGTGAGCACACCTAGCAGCTCTCCATTGTTGTGTGCAACTGTCCAGCTGACCATGCCGGCTACGCACTCCAGACGTACTTAGGCTTGGAGTAGACAGGAAGTACAGTAGAACCTCAGAGTTCTGAACAGCAGAGTTATGAACTCACCAGTCAACCACACACCTCGTTTGGAACTGGAAGTACACGATCAGGCAATAGCAGATGGTTAAAAGCAGCATTTTTCTTCTCCACAGTGAAGTTTCAAAGATATATAAAGTCAGTGTTCAGTTGTAAACTTTTGAAAGAACAAAGATAATGCTTTGTTCAGAGTTACAAACATGAACTTTTTTAAGCTCTGCTCCATAAATTTGTTAAAGTTTTAATGTATTTTCTTTTAAGTTGCACATAACTTTTTTTGAAGAGTTTTTGTCACTCAGTAAAACTCTATTGTTTGGAAAATAATTCACTTTTATTAGTTCCCAACATGCTGTAAAATGGCTGGTGGTGTTGAAAGCACCCACCTACTTGAGATTATACACTTTGATACAACTCATATGTACAGCAACCACCACAAAATTAATAGGTGCGTTGTCAGTGTTTCATTCATCAAGCACCAAAGATAGATTCAACTAGTGGTTTAGCAGGTGGAGAATGATGTGCACACAGTTCCCAACAGGTCGCCAAAAAGCAGGGCCAGTTAGAGCACAATACACCACTA